TCAGGCCACTACGAGTGCGCGCCAGAGCCGTGTTGCTAAGACGAAGATGGGGCTGGGTCTGCGGTAGTATCGGCTCGGTCTGCTCCAAGAACGCTCGCACGGTACGGTATCCGTACGAGTCGATCTTGTCGAGATCAAGTGCGTTTTGAGGGTGGCCTGGAAACGGAACCGGTCACGCTGAGCCAAAGACGCGAGATCTTCTGCGTACGCTCTACCGGCCTTGCGAGTATCGCTCGAGGACCAGCCTGGTGGGCCTCCGAGTCCGAACAGCTGTAGGTGCTTGTCAAGCTCCTCGAGGAAGTCGAAGAACCCCATCGTCTCGACGCAGAGACTGAATAATGAGAGTCGAGCGTTGAAGGCCTTTAGTTTGATCTTGCGGCGATGAGACAGCGCCGTAGTGGACTCGAGAGGCACGTGAAAGAACCACTCCCAAAACGCACGACGATGCTCCATCCAGAAACGCTAGTGAGCGCGGTGAATGTCCGAGAACGAGGCGGGATCATACCAGAGTTGCCGTCCGGTCCAGGGAACGCATAGCGTCAGGGCTTCTTGCCTGAGCCTCCGCCGTCCGGTGCACTCTCTCGATGGACAGATGTACGAGGTAAGCAACCTTGTCACCGACTCCGAGAGAGTCAGCGAGCGGAGTCGAGACTGAGACTCCTGTGGTCGCTGCTGGAGTACCAAAGGTCCTGGTCCTGTCTGAGAACGCAGTTTCTTGGCTGGCGTGTCGACCGACGGAGCTGGGCTCGGTGACCTGCGCCTGGGACGAGTGGTCGTGGTGCTGGGTGAGCCGTTCGCTGTCGCAGACGCATGTGCTTCTCGGTTGGGACTTTGAGATTGGACGGCCGGGACGAGGCGGAGGTCTTGGACGACTCAGCGCGACAGCTAGTCTGCAAGGAGATGTCTTCGCTTGGCTGGGCCTGAGCCAGCTCTGGGCTTGGAGCTGGAGCGGATGGAACGACGACGGGAGATGACAGAGCCACGACAGTACCCTGCAGCGTGGAAGGCTTTGAGTCTGCGAGGTCACGAGCGAGCCGGTCCATGTGTTCCACACCCGAGGACAATGGGCTCGTGGACAAGGCACTCTTTAATTCCTCCCAGAACGCGAGTCGAATGGATCGGGGTTCGACGCCGAGAAGGCCGCACGCGTCGAGATTGATGGCCTCGTCGAGGAGCGACTGGAACCGCGCGCGTTCCGTTGCGGTGAGGCGTGCCGACATTCGGGCTGAAAGGTGTCGTGCGTGGGTCGGTACCGATTCGAGAACGAGGAGAGTGTTTGGTGGCTGCCGCGAGAAAAGACCGCGTGTACTGAGCTGATTGGCTGTAATTGGTCGAGGAAAGTTGAAGAAGGAACGATGTCAAAGATAGAGACCCGAGAAGGGCTGACGTCAGTCAGGGACGGGGCTTGACTAGCTATTACCAGACTTTGCGACATACATCTATCTGCCAAGATAGTACGAGATGTGGAAGATCGTATCAGTGAGCGCCTTCGATGCGTTCGAGCTCCTGCAGATGGTGAATGTGTCTGCGCCCGGGTGGGCCATCACTGTTATTGTGATCTGGGTCGTCACAACCCTCTCCGCGACGTGACGGGTGTGTTCTTCTCTGGAGCGACTGACTGTTTCAGCACGGCGTTCTTTTTGGCCGCACGAGTGGAGAGCGCTACCTGCATGCGGCCATGGCATGGGCCTGTCGACTCCCAAGTATGCGAGGGACATGATTGGCCTGATGTTCCTGATCCCGATCGCAGTCCTGAACGAGTACAAGTCCCGGTTCGGAATTGTGGGAAAGCTGTGTGTGAAGTGGGGAGAGGCGTACTTCTGTGTGTGTACTCCTGATGCGATGCAGCTGGTCTTGACGTCGTCGTGCCGGCACACGCGCGGCTACGTGGAGGCCTCGCTCCCCACTGTGGGCCGGACAGGAGACGTCTCTACTTGCTGGTGCCTTTGCTTTTCTCGACGATGGTGTAATTATCAAGGGTCGTCTACGACGTCTACGAAGGGCTGTTGCAAGGATGGATGGTCGTGGCGGCGTCTCTTCTCGTGATTAATTGGTGGATGGGGTTCTCGGAGACCCGTTAGTATTTGGATGTCTTGATGTTCCTACTATGCTGCTACAGCCACTTCATGAGGCTCTTTGATTTTAACTACTTAGCGAATGTAGTGCAGCCCCGTCACGTGGCGAGCCAAGGCTGGAACCGTTTGAAGGAGCGGATGAGCTCGCGGGGTGAGGTGGAACGTGCCAGCGTGGAACGTCTACAAGACATCGTGTTGCTACTCACCACGGTAGCTTCGAAGCCGGAAGAGCCTGCTGCGAAATCCAAAGTGGAGACGACTGCGGCTGACATTCCTTCGGCGCCGCTCAAGCCGTCTAAAGAGCGTCCCGTGTGTCAAGAAGAGAGCGTCGGTGCTCAACGAGGACGCTGAGCGTAAGTCGGGAAGATTTGTCACGGTCTTCCCCCAAAAGACGGCCTGACCATCCTCGTCGACTATCTACAGCAGATGTGCGCGGTTGAGGTTCAGCGCCAGGCAGCTGCCCAAGGACCATCACGGACACTCCGAGAGTAGTCCGGTTCCCGTGGGTCCTGCCCTCTAGTTCAAGTGTTTATTGAGGAAGTCGACTTTGGATTTTCTATCGTGCCGAACAGTAGCGGAAGGTAAGGATTATACTTGATTCGCTAAGAATGGCTCAGCAGTCCGTCGGTCTGTGATTTAGTACAATCGTGATTTTCCCTCGTAAGAGACAGACAAACAAGAAGAAACTTTCATTTTTATCCCTACGCAACCTCGTACTTATTTTCTACACCGGCGTATAAGATACACCACCCCAGGACGAAGGAAGACCGCGACGTTAGCCGCGCAGTACAAGTTGAGATGGCGGACTTTGAGCCTGACCTCGATGTAGTACAGTAGCTGATTATTAGGCTGTGCACTCTGACACAGTCAGCCAAGCTCAAAAAATAACTGTTTAGGGCTCGAGGTGTTTTGTAAACAATATCTCTAAATTAGAATAACCTCTAGCTTGTTTTTAATTTGGGCTACATGGCTCAAACGAAGCTTCGACCAGTTATTTGCCAAAACACGCGATGGGGCTCGACATTCGCGATGGTGAACCGGTACTTTTCTCTTCTTGTGCTTATCGACACTAACGACGACGATATGGCCGACCTGCTGCCGACACCCGCGTGCAACCGTCATCTCCGTGCTTTGCTGAAGGACCTAAAAAAGTGAAATCTGTATCGAAAGCGCTGCAAGGGGAAGACGTGTAGCTGTTAGACGCTCGTGTCTGGCTTGATGTATTAATTTCGACCAAGCCCCACTACCCTCACTTCAACGATAAGCTTGCCGGTGTTGATGTTCTTGCTATTAGGCTAATTGTGAGCTTTTAATTTAATTAATGTGCCTTGTTGGCTAGGTCCGCGCGGCACAACCGTTCACAGCTTTAATTTTGAGGAGGGGTGCGTCCGGGTCCTGGGCGGAAATATGAGCCGCCTCACCCACGCAGAGAAAGCCGCACTTTCGCCGTTTGCAAGGATTAGTTTGCATGCAGATAGCGGAGAGGATGACAGCGATGAAATTTCTTTCGCCGAAAAGCTCCGGAAACGGCACCGTCTTGCTGATAAGGATGTAAAGTACGACTTTCTCTGCGTGGTTCCGGCTGCTTTCAGCGTAGTCGAGCGGGTTTTCAGTGTAGCTCGCACCACGTTTGACCAAGAGCGACATGGCTTACTTCCTATCACATTGGAAATGATTCTCTTCCTAAGAGAGTATAGTACATACTGGAACGCTCAGACAGTAGATGAGGCAACACATTTGTAGACTATATGCTTTTACTGCTCCAAAACAGCTAATCCGTTTGTTATCGTATCGATAACGCCGTAACTTTTTTTTTTACATATACTAGAGCGTTTTGTATTGTAAGCGCATGATTCAGCATTGCAATGATTTATCCCTGCTCAAAGGGTCCGATAAATAGCAATATCATTTGAGGGGCCCTGGTAAGAAGAAAGAGACTCGGACTTGTCACGAGGGCGGTGAGTGGGTCATCTTCGAGTCAACTGCCCAAACCGGTAGTTATAAGAGTCTGACCGCCCTGTAATATCTGAGTTTAAGAGGTGGGAGAACAAGAGTGGTAGTAAATAATGGGAAGCGCGCCGGAAAGAACTCGAGTGGTCTTTGTTGTCGTGTGCGTTTCAGATATTGCTGCTACATCTGTTAAGACCCCTGCTGGTACTGAGACGGAGTGGGTCCTGGATTTAGCGAGCGAAGTGCATGTATGCAACAACCTTTACAGAACCGATAAGTTTGACAGACCTCTACATCTTTTGCGCTGTCCACGCGCTCCGCTCACTGCTCGGGCTTAGCCTTCCACTCGCATTGGTGCCATACTTTTTATTGCACTTATTTAGCGTACCCTTTCCAGTTCTCGAGGCAAAGGAGGGGTAGGCGGGTGGTGTTCATGCCAGCAATGTAAGATGCAATCTTGAAAAAAGGCAATAAACTTTCCAAACAATTATATTGCAGCGTGATTCGCCTGAATCGCTGAGCTAGTACGTGAAAATTACGCGGGCAAGATTCGCCCTCTTCTTCAGAAAGCTGTTAAACTTAGAGGTATCTTTCTTTCTGGACGAGGGGCCACAGGCCAAGCTCACTCTCCATTAAATTCACGATTGTCTCCACATCTTCATCGCCCTCCATTATCGATCTGTAGAAAACTATAGCCCTAGCCCCGATTGCGATACCTACTATATTTATCCGGATGTGTATACAAGTCGGGTTGGAGCACGTTCTGGGCTGGACGAATTTTCAATACGATATACGGATAGCGTATACAAATTGAGGAAAGTCTCTGTTGTTACCAAATACTACATTCTGAAAGTCGCAAATTGCTTATCTTTCGACAAATAGAAGGCAATACTACTGAACCGGCTGCGTGACCGAATTAATACGATTTGGCTAAAAAAACATATATTTTTTAATTCCATGACCTTGCCTATTATAATGCGACAAGCATTGGAAGTCGACGAGGAGCTATTGAAGCACCAGCTTCGCCAGGAACAGGAGACATGGTATACTCCCTAGCACCGCACTAACTCTTTACCAGTCTCTTAACCGACTGCGCTGCCTTACAGGGAAGCCGATCAGCTCGCCGCAGGCCACACTAAACCCTTCCAACTACACATCTGGAGCGTCGGGAGGTTGCTGCGCGTGGTACAAGCCTCGCAGTCAGCCACAAACGCTGTAGAAGCTCTAGCTCAGTATGGACTTATTCGCCATTCAGTTGGTAGCGTCGATCAGCGCCGCGCCACATCTCAACCCACAACAGCGGAGACGCAGCACGCACCGTCCGCGGACGCAGTAACGTACTCGTCAAGTCGCGTCTGGATCACGGGGTTTCTACGTTTTGGAGAAGAATTAGATACTTGTGACATACTAGAATTGTGTGATAGCAACACCAAGCTGCCTAGTTTCCTTTTAGACCCAAGTCCTCAACTAGTGGCTCAATTGGTGCTGGTCAAGCATTGGGTGCTGGTGGACAAGGCATTCGGCGGAGCACGAACTGCAAGCTCAATATTTCTCGAAGTGCATGATGAGAAACCAACAGTATTAACACCAGTAGATGATCCGTACGTGAGTTGGACACCGAAAGATGTGCTACAAGTGCTAGAAACCCACTACCAAACTAAAGACCCGCCGATGTACACGGACACGGAGCGATGGGCTCTAATTGCACAAGATAAAGTAGCTAGCGATGGACAGAGGACGAACCATAAGCGTATTCATGCGGCTTTTGGTCGTGTGACGAGTGTGAGTCCCATTTCACGTCAAAAGGACCATGCCAGCAGTCACTTTTTCGTTGAGATCGAGGCTCACCGAAGCTGCAGTGAGATATCAACGCAGAGTGTCGTCACCGTCATGTTTACTGGGGTTGAAGACATGCGCTGGAATGTGTTTCTCCGCCCTGGAAAAGTGGTGTTACTGACTGATCTGGTGAAGGTTCACTCGCGTGAGTGTGCCATGTTTCTGCTTCAAGCGACGCACCGACAAACGTCATGTCGGTCTGATGCAGAAGCTCTGGAAACGTTAGTTCTGATCTGGAATGAGCCCTCATCTCCTGACAACAACGTCATGAAGATGATAAGCGAGTCACTAACTACGTTCTCGAAAGAATGGGTTGCTCGCTGCAATGGCAGGATATTAGATTTTGAAGGTCAAGTGTGTCGACTACTTTGGGATGAGTGTATTGAGCTCCAAGGACCACAAGATGGTCGCGTTATTGTGTGTCTTTTACACTTTCCGTACACACACGAGCTGGTTCGCCTTCGCAAGGGCGCTACGATTAGAGTGAGTGCTGCCCACGTTCTCCGTTGGCCGACACCTGTAGGTGGCAATCTGGTGCTGGGACTATGTCCTCGGAGTCATCTCGCAGTTACTAGCTACAGTAACCCAAGTGAACATTGCATTGCTATTGGAACGCGATCTCGACGAGGCAAAACGCACAAGAAATGGTCAAGTTTGGGAGATTTCCATCGTCAATCTATGGTGTTGTCTATGTGGCTGTTGGAGGTTCTGGAGCTACTGGATTCCAAGTTTTTCTTCGGTGGAGACGAAGAGATTCACGTTAAATTATCACAGTTATCGTTCCCACGCACTCGACGACGACAGGCAGTTTCTATTGTAGCTCAGAAACTTGGTTTCTCGCCGGAAAACAGTCGTGATGAAGTCGCCACGACACTCGGGGCTCTGTTTCTAAAGTGCCACACTCCTAGTGCTGGAAACTGCACAACGGTAGCGCTACCACTTCGAGAAAAACTATTGACATGCAGCCGAGTCGTGACGATCCGGGAACTTCAAAGACTGGGCGAAAGCAGGATGATTGGGTCGAGTTCTGACGCGACAGATGGAATCCTGTCTATTCGTATTCCAGCTGAGGATCTTGACTGGTGTCTGCTGCTTGGAGGCATTCGAGGGGGTATTGGGAGTGGGAACCTGGACGTTTACGACCGTACGGGCTCAATCTCCTTGTGTTTGGACAATAGTGAGACGGATATGAGTCTTACAAATGCACATGGCGTGTATTTACTCCGCAATTTTGATATTGTGATCGAGGACTACAATCAAGATCAAGAACTTGAACAGGAGAGATTGCCACTCGTATTTTGCGTCAGTTGTTCGCCAAAAAACGTGCAGTTTGTCAGTATCCGCGACGATGACAGTATCAGCTTTTCACCTGAAGAAAAAGTTGCTGTGGAGTCACAGCAAATGCAGCAGTTGCCGGAGATATCTCAAGTATGCGACTTACTCCTTCATCCACTTCTAAACCACTCGCAGCAGATTGAAGAGCGGCCCATGGCAAGGACTGTAAACCCGGATCTGCACAAACCGCACTTGATATCAATTCTTGGAGTTCTCACGAAGAAAAAGTACTATTGGCGCTCTAACGGCCAACAAGGAGTCAAGCGTGTCCGACAAGGTGATAGCATTACTCAAACCTCCAGCCGGAAGTTAGCTTGTATCCTCTATGTTCGCGATCTCCAACACCCGGATACTATTGAGATTCGAGTGGACACGTCGCTCTTCGGTTTGCTAGGCGCGTTGCAGGTGAATTGTGTCGTGGAGCTCACTCGCCTCCAAGGGTTTATAGCTCGCTCAAGCTTCAAGGTTTATCTAAGTTGGATTCACCTTACTGCAGCACGAATTGTACCGACTTTGTCGGTGCCACGAGACGCGCAACTTTTCGGTTTGATGTCGACCAAGCTCCTAAACGACCTGTACTATTCTGCAAATGTTGACCGAATGTTGCATCGATTTGTGGTTGGCGTGGTGCACATAAGTTACGTCGTGCTAAAGCGAAAATGTGGCTTGTGTCATCAGGCATTGGAGTTCAATAAGCGTCGCGCGGTCTGGAAACATACAGAGCAAACGCAAGCGAAATATTCGCGAGTTTGTGTGCGAAAGTGGCAGCAAATAACTTCATCTGATTCTGTGTTCAAGACGCATACATATATGGGTGCAACAGTGCGTTGTGTCATTGACGACGGCTCTGGCCAGGCTGAGTTATTTGCGCAGAATGATGTTGCGTGGGAGTTGCTTACGTGCACTGCCGGTCAACGTCAACGGTTTGAGGATATTCTTAGCAACTACGTCGAGGAACTGAGTTATTTCTCCGGACGCACAGCGAACGGATCATTTGCGACTAGCAAAGCGGAGCGCGAGCAGGAATACTACCAAAACGAACTGCGATCCTTCGTTTTGGAGGCCATTCCGTCGCTGAGATCAATCGTGGTTTTTGCTCAACGATTCTATAAGGCAAATGAAAAAGAAGGGACGTCTGTGCTGACGTTCGGCAAGGATATCCACCTCACGACCAAGACAGTGCCGCAGCCGAAGCTGGAGGCCAAGCGCGTGGACCGACTGCACGTTCGCAATGAGCTGCGGCAGCGTCTAGATCAGCTACGACAGCGAGCCCAATGCTTGAAAATTAAATGAGAACCATATAACCGAGTACTGTAGTGCAACACATTCCCGATCAATACCACTATGAGCAAATCTGATAATTTATTTTTTGCGTCTATCGAATGGTGCAAATCGCAAGAAATGTGCTTATACTGTAGCGACTTTCGTGGCTTGAACGAAAGCACAGCTTGGTTAATTATGCGAATGCTTCTTGTAAAGTTTGTCTTGTGAGCTCCGTCATTTTTTATCATGCTTTTGCCAAAATCAAAACATGTTCAAAAATAAACAATAACGGGAGACTCCGCTTTGCTTTACACTGCTGTCAGTATGGATTGGCAATTGACAAAAAAATCGAAAACGCGCGTGAAATTTTTCATTTGCGCCTTGCAACTAGGGGCTCCGATACTCCCGCTCAGCCACTTGACTCCTGATCCGTTTTGCTTTTCAGCACAGTGACGGCAAAATCAGCGCGACTGATAAATTATCAGATTCTTCTCATTTTGCCGCTCACTGATTGGTTCATTTCGTAGCACCGGCAACCTTTGACACAGAAAAGGTAATCCGCACCCAACTACCAGATCGGAAAGGCCTCCAGTCGTCGACTGGAGACTGGCAGTCGACACGTTTGTCACGGCAACAAGCCATGGCGTCCATGCAGGTCACCGACGAGCCCAAGAAGCCCAGCTCCATACGCGCAAGGAAGACAACGCCGCGCTCTCGACCAAAGAAGATGGAGAAGGAGATGAAGGCGTCAACTCCGCGACGTCGCGCGAGTCCTCGAGCCCGAAAGGCAGTGGACTCTGAGCATGAGAAGGAGAAACAACAAGATAAAGCAGCAGTGGAGCCGCCTCCACCTCCTGTTCCTACCGCTAAAGAGGAGCGACAACAGCAACAGAAGCCGCAGACGACAGAGGACAAATCGGAGGGCGGAAAGCAAGAAGAAACGGAAACTAAAGACGAGCCGGAGTTGCCGCCTAGTCAGGACACGCAACTCCGACGGGATTACCTACAGAGAATGTGAGGAGGTTTCCTTGTGTATTGTCGTCGTACTTGCACGAGTGCTAACTGCATTTTTTTTCATTTTATTGTTGCAGTTACCGTCAATTGCAGAGCACACATCCAAACCAGGACGACGCAATGATCCGCCAAATTGCAACAAGCGTGGAGATGGAAACGTGTCAAAAGGCAACAACCCGGGTAACTATTTTTTCCATTGATGACACTTTTTTTTCTTTTTTGGAATGATTTTTTTTTAAATGTAACGTTTTTTTTTGTTATTTTGTGTTGCATTGTATTATAGAGTCACTACGTTGCAGCAATGGAGCACGAGATCCACAAGCTTATGCAGTTTGAAATGGAGCAGGCAAACACGTCTGTGTACGCGAATGACACTCCAGGACTTGGGAATATGCAAACCAACACTCAAGCGCAGTCTAGTGCGTCTGGAGAAATGCAAGGTGGCTACTCTCAACATCAAATATCACAGTCCAGAAGCTACGAGTACGCTCAGGCACTTGCCAAGGCGCAGGAGCAAGAACAAGCTCACAGTTTCGGTAGATCTTCGTCATTCTCGACTCCACGCCAGTCGATGAATGCCGCAGATACGTCGTTCCAGTCACTCATGGAGAATCAGAACATGACAAGTGGCATGCAACACGGCACACCGCATCGAGCTATGAGTATGCAGAACCTGCAACACATGGGGAGTCCATTTTACTCCACAGCGTCGATGACGCCTCCCACTTCTCGGAGTTTCTCGGTTCAGAGCAGCGTCAACGAGATGACAAGTCACGCCACGCCACGGAACATGATGGAGGCGCACCAGCAACTTGGCAACTCGTATATGCAACAGCAGCACGTGCAACAACCTCGCACGTCATCGCGAGCTCTGACGTATCAGGAATTTTCAGCCCAGATCCAGCACTTGGACAAGTCAGTACTCATAGAGTTACTGTGGAATCAGAGAGGTGCCTTGGCTCGATGGCAGAATCAGTCAAAGCAGTTGGAAGTTCAGCTTACTGCACTACGCAATGCCTCTAGCAACGTGGACAGTCCAGGATTTAACTCTCCGTACAACGGCCGCGCCGGGTCTTTTGTTAGTCCCAATGTCGCGGCGGACGCGGAGTTGCAGAGAGCTCGAGGGCGCAGCAAGTCTCGGATGCCACAGCAGCAAATGCCGTCGTATCCCTATGGCCAACAGGCCAATGATAGCTACGATTGGGGAGAGAACCCACAGCTATACTGGGACCGGGTCCGAGCGCTGAAAGCTGCAAACGAAGACAAATTGCACACAGCTCAGCGAGCGTTAGCTCACAACACGGCGCCCCCGAACTCCGTGTACAGTGCCAAAGCCCAGTCGATGATACAGAATATTGGCCTGGTGTTGAGCATCCTGAACGAGCAACCTAGCAACGCCCAGCCACGCAAGTTGGAAGTGCTCAACTCGATTGAGCGCTTCATGCAAGTGTCTGTGATTCCGATCGTTCAGAAGGTATTGTCAAGCGCACAGGTGGCCACGGCGTCTCGGACTCCGGTGACGTCAAGCGCTGCCAGCTATCCCCTCGGCCAGTCAAATGTCCGAGACAACACTATTGGGACAACGCCGCTCTTTAGTGAAGCAAACCACTTTCCCGAGGTCGAAGCAAAGACCCCGACAATGAAACAAATGATGGAGGGGTTGACAGCAGTCGGAAACAGCCCACACGACGCAGCAGAACACGAGAGAAAAGTGTCCGACTGCTCTATCCAAAGTCGGGTGTGTGAGGCTCCAACGATGACTCCAAAAGGGTTATCGTCTTCCTCTTTGCCCGCGATCGAGTCTCGTCCGTCGACTATCCCCGAAACGCGTCTCCCCAGCTTGAGTCCCAATACTCGAGATAGTAAAAGTAGCAAAGTGATGGAAGGCAGCGTAGATGATGCGTTGAACGAGTTCTCCGAGCTGGCCGGAATGGACTTTGACGACCCCGTAGTGGAAAGCAGCATGCTTGCCAAAGAGAACAACCCGTCCAATGTCGTGAGAAAGCGTGGAATCGAAGATGTGTGAGTGAAGCCACACCCGTCAAGCACCGTGTGGTCGCCTTTCAAGAAGAAAAGGTTGAAAGCGCGGTACATTTTGCCAACCAATCATGCAACTTTTGTTGCATGCTGCAAAATTGTTGCAGTTAAACGTCAGCAGTGCTTTTTTTTTAGTGTTTTTGAAGTGTTTGTTTTACTTTTTATTCTTTTTTTCTTAAATATTTTCGGCACAAGGAATAGATGAATGTTGCTTGCTATTCATTAGCCCTAGCGAGCGAAACCCAGTGCAAGGTTGACGTGATGTGCTTGACTCAAAATATACCTCGCTCGGTCACCGACAGCAGCGTTGCGGCCGCCAGGGAAAATGGCACTGGGCAGGTCGTTCCAAGAGCGGTAGTTGATGTCGACTTGCATGCCTGGTTTCTTCTCGGCTGCAGTGTTAAGCTCCGTGGCAAGGAAATACCGAGTTGCCGACGCCACCGAGTTTTTTGCCAGTTCCTCTTGGCTGTTCTTGGTGATGACAGGAGATCGAGCGGAATGTCTCCGATCACCTCGACGAGGCTGTGGCGTTGAGGGGACGTTGACAGTGTAACCAATAAAGAAATAGCCGACCACTGCGTCGCTCTCGTCTGTTTCATGACCTTGAGCACGCACGAGGTCAGGTAAAGGATGAAGTGCCGAGATGGACGGCGTGTGTTGCAACGTCTCGACTAGTTTCCGTGTTCGACTGGCAACAAAGCTGGACCACTCGGCCAAAGCTTCCTCGTTTGGCGCACGCAACTCGATAGCCACATGGTGGTCGTATCGAACAAGCACCTCGGTAGGTGTGAAGAGCTGATTCCAAGACGAGGGGTGACTGAGACTACGACGACGTAGATCGTCCATGATGCGTTGGCCACGAGCAAACTCCTCGCGTAGCACACGCAACGTGGAAATGTTGACGTTCACTGCAGTATTGACAGCAGGGAAGCCCGGCGTGATGATCGGCATGAGGTGTGCTCGGTCGTGGATGTTGTGTTGCGGATCCCATTGAACCTCCTGGTCAGTTTTGCCGCCGTTGGACGGATGTGCCACTAGAATGGGGGTAGGCCATCGCCATGTTGCCAATACCGAGAAAAACCGGTGAACAAGCGACGCCACACTTGCCCGAGGAAACATTTGACACACAAAACACACGAGGATTGCCCATGAAATACCTCCGAGGAAACCGGCCTTGTTGGAGTAGAGACCGCGACGTCTCGCCCAGAGGCGAATGACACGCAGACAAGATCGATACACACTGGCGTTTGGTACCAGCTCGAGGATAAGCGAAGCCACACGAGCAACAGACAGCGAACGGACGGAAGTTGCGTCCATTCCACGCATCACTTGCATGTCGTCTCCTGGCAGGAACGGCAAGTGCTTGGGCACGGCCTGCTGCTGTGCGTACCGAGCGAATAGCAAGTCTATCCGGACAGAGTTTAACTGGAACGATAGCACAGGGACGGCGGCTTTACGGCGAGCAACAAGGTCCGAGACGGATGATTCCTGTCCGAGGTGTTCGCACAACGAGCTGAAGAAGATTTCCGCAGTTACCGTGTGTGGCATGAAGGCCACAACGTCGAGGTCTGATTCGGCGTTTCCTACCTTGAGGTGCCAACTGCCACCCAGCAACAGTGTTGCAGTTTCAGTTGACTTGGTTTCACTATCAGTTGCCAATTTGTCGAGTGTGCGACGGAGCCAAATATCCACAACTCGTTGCAACTCGTTAATTGCCAAATGTTTGGCACTCATTTGCTCCGCGGTTGGCATTGGCGCAATTGCGTTGACACATTTCGTAAGACCATTGGTACTGCGCAGATCGTATTCGGTAGGGGGGACCAGCTCCGCCGGGACCACAATGGGCATGACTCGACGCAGTCCGTATGCAGCAGTTTGCAGCGTCTTCAAGTAGTTCTCCTGATCTTTCATCCTGTACTTCGACGGGGATCCGCTCGGTAGCGGTGGCTGTGTCTTGTGCTCGCTCCTCCAATTGTTTTGACAGGCCTCGAGTGCGAGCTGCAAAGGCTCTGTCACCGCCTTATTGGAGACGGGCGAGGGGCTACCCGAGCCGCTGCTGGAGATGGAGCCGTCGTCGCTGCAGTCGTCGTCGTCCCAGATGTCGCGGCTGGAGCAGCTCGTTCGGCCTCCAGAGGACGTGTCACTTTCCTTCTTGTGTGTGTCTAGCAACGCGAGTGTGCTCACTTGGAGCTGTTGTGGTTTGCTCAGCCCCTGCTTGAGCTTCTGTGTGCGCTCGGCGTCTCCCCAGCATAAACAACTCATCTCGACTCGTTGCAATGTGTCCGTTAACAACAGTAAGGTCGAATGAGGCCGATCCGATTCCGATGCACGCACTGCCCACGTTCGCAATGTAAAAGTGCCTGAGTGGATTGACAGCGTATTTTTCGCTGCAGTCTGGAGGATGGAGGTCAAAACAAACAAACAAATAGGATTAGCGTTTGCAAGCTGACAACCGGTAAAAGCTTCTGGCAAAACAGCCTGCCGCACACAGACTGGAACGGAACCTGCAACTGGGTCAGCAGGTTCAAGAAACCGCCACCACCAGGTGACTGCAGCTAAGCTATTACCATATAGTATACGTGCAAACACTTACATTAACCAAAGGCGATAAGATGATGGCGGTGAAGAGAATTGAGAGTGAAGCTTCCGATGTGATGGCAAATGCGCGAGTGAGGCCAGCCCCCTCACTGTACCTTTGAAGTCGAGTGGCAACACATCGGAGACGCGACCACAGGCGTCGTACGTCACCTTTTTTGTCCATCAGACCATAGAAGAGTCGGTTTGCCAAAATAGATTGATAAAATACACAAAACGTTTACTATTTTATTTTATGGCTTGACTCATACCTTACCATCTGATGGGTTTCTACCGGCAGATAAGAGAAAATGCTATCGTAATCGGTGAATCGGCCTGAGGGTGAGGAAAACACTCCAGTTGGGTGTTCTCTTCGTTGCCATCCGCTTCTGTTCCTGCGCAATCTGACTCTTCGCCATCACTACGAGAGCACGAACATGGCGCCAATGTGACCCATGCTGCAACTCAGGGCTCGTGATTGCGACGGCACGACCCAGAAATCATCCGCTTCTCAAGCAGAATGGGTTGTGGTTTTATGATGGCTAGAATCTATGTAGCCGCTAGATGATTTGATTCGACCTCGAGTACTAGTATTGCAACAAAATGTTTTGCAACAACGGTACCCAGCTCAAGTGCTGTATTTTCGTTCGAGCAGAGTTTCCTACACCCAACACCTTGCCTGGTATTTTGCGCAACAGCCTGTCCGTCGTCGTCTGGTCATGATTCCAGTGCGGGGGTCGAAGTGCTTTTTGTCGTTGGTGCCGACTGGGTCAACTCTCAATCGTAATATAACGCTCGTTGCTTTTTGAAAAATAAATTACACAGTTAGATCGCCGTTTCGCCCGGTAATAATCTCGAAAAATACAAATTGACCGACCACTTCAACATGCGGACCTCGAAGCAGAGCCGCGACGGCAAGTTGTCAGACCGTGGCGCCGTCGGCTCTCACGCCGTGTTCGCGATGGCGTTTGGTGGTGTAACGGGGCACATGGCTTTCACGCTTGCCAGCGGGGCAGGCGTGCCGCTCGCTCGTCCGCTTGAAGACTTGGAGCCGCAGCTTGGCGGTGCACAGGCATTGCCAATCTCGGCACCTGCTGCAGCCGAAGCTTCGGAGCGAAACTGGTGGATATGGTAATTCTTTCGCCGCTGCGCTGGGGCACGAGTCTCTGCAAGCGCGCGAAGAGCGTTGCGGGGGACTTGCTTTGCGACACCCTGGAGCCACGGTGGCCACCTGCTTGGATACAGAGGCATGATGCCACGCAGCACGTGCGTCCAAGAGAGATCATACATGTATCGGCGCCTCGACTGTGGAACGCTCATCAGTCAAGCGTCCACCACGATGGGGCAACTCCATTTTCCAATTTGGACCACACGCTTGACAGCGGGCGATCAGACTCCGCTGGTAATAGCGACGGCTGTCCATCTGCAGATTCCTCTGTCTAATACGCTGAACTGTCGACGCCGGTTCTCAGCTTTGTCTCCAACAATCGACAGGGATCGGCTCATTGTGAGTGAGTGTTTTCATACATGTATCCCGTCTTCATCGTCGCATTGTTGTTAGAGAAGAGAAGCCATGACACGATGTCACCACGACACATCGTCTTCATGGGTCTAGTCACAGGAACCGCTCCAGTGATCCTGTAAAGGCCCCCAATGTATGTACTATCGTGGAGAAGACACACAAAACACCGCTGCAAAAGACTCACAACATGGGAGTATTAATACTGTACGTTCACTCAAGAGAGCCATGAGTCAACTTCAAGTTGCCTGTCGTACTTTCATTAATGCTCCGACTGTCTTGCTTAGACGCTGACTGCCCAGCTCTTTCCTGATCTTGTCTTGGCTTTCGCCTGCGTTTCTTCCTCTTTCCTCCACTTTTCCTCCTCTAGTTGCTTCAATCGTTCCTGTTCCTGTTTAAACTGCTCCAACTCCGCTGTGGCTTCCGGGTGGAAGTGGCAAACATCTTCAAAGATAAGTCGTCGCAATGTGTTCTTGTCCAAGTTGCCTTTGTTCTCTCGTTCGAACGAAAAGTCAAACGCGCTATCTGCCAGACGCTCCGAGTCCATCTCAACGCCATCCGCTCGACAAGGGGCCAGGAACGGGTGGCCAAGGGCTTCGTCTACTGAGATTCGCTTGCGAGGGTCGAACTGCAGTAGCTTGGTCATCAAATCCAGAGCTTCAGTGGGGGCATTCGGACACACCGTGTTCAGAGGCTTAGCCTCGTGTTCTTGCTGACGTGCCATCCAGCGCTTGGCCTTCATGTTGGTGACAAACCCCATGTCGTTCGGTGGCGGACTGCCTACAAGTTGCAGGATCAAATGCAACTGATGTACGTGGTCATGTCCTGGGAAGAGCGCTTTACGCGTAAACATCTCGGCTACGATACAACCCACCGCCCAGAGATCAATCGCCGTAGAGTACCGACTAGCAAGTAGAAGCTCCGGGGCTCGATACCAGCGTGTCACCACATACTCTGTCAATGCTTCGTCCAATGACGGCTCGCCATCTTGACTACTAGGCGTCGTGTTCCCGTCTGAACTACTTGGTGTACCTGGACGGATGTCAATGCCTCGTGCCAGTCCAAAGTCACAGAGTTTAACTAAGCAGTCGCGATTAATCAGCACGTTCGACGGCTTGACATCGCGATGGATGATATGAGCCGAGTGGACGTAGCGTAGACCACATAGCAATTGGTACGTGATAAAGGCAATGTGATCACTCGAAAGCGGCTCGGGAGAGTTGATGACGCGATGTAAATCCGTCTCCATGAGGTCTGTGACGATGTACGTGTCCTCGAACGTGACGAGTAAGGGAGGACGCATCACGTCCAGCACCGACACAACGTGAGGATGACGCAGATGCCGCATGAGTCGGATCTCACGCACTATCCTTTTGGCATCCACCAGATCATCGAACGTACGCGGGATGTTCTTGATAGCCACCGAGTTGCCAGTCACTTGGTCGCTAGCTGCAATCACCACTCCGTACGCGCCGTGGCCGATGGCTCGAATCAACTGGTATCTCCTGTACACACGGAACTTGGTGGACGCCACCGTGAACGTGTACATTTCTTCCTCTTCGGACGACGAGTTTTTGTCCTGTTTGTCAACACCATCCGCCTCCACGAGCTCAAATCCGCCAGGTCCGTCACTTGCTGCAAGTGAAAAGCGTTCCGACACTCGTCGGTTCTGACCTGTCTCCTTGTGTAGCTCCTGTAGTCGATCAAAGCTCTTGCGATGTCTCGGTGTTCGTCCTTGGATCGGTGTACTACTACCAGAGTGTTCTCCTTCCTCACTCATACTCACATCGTCATCTTCGCCCATTGAATCGTCTTCCTCTGTATACGGTGCAAAGCTGATACTAAGCTCCAGACGTCCACAGCTTTGGGATTCTCCAGCTCGTGTACCTTTCTCAAACGTCTCTGCGCGATAGATGTCAAACCACTTGGGTACCGCCACAGACGCGATCTGCTCTTCAGTGCCCTCGGACGACCCCAAATAATCCGCCAAGTTCACTTTAGCACAGCCAACTAGTTCGTCTCCAAGCACACCAAAACTCCACACATCGATACACAGACTCGCTGTTGAGCCAGGAACAGCGCCAGAGAACTCCAAGTGCAACGTCTCAGCCCAGAATGGTCCTTTACCGCCACTGCTCTTCACCACACGCGTCGAATACGCCTTCCACGAGCCAACACGACTCAACCCGTCCGTACTGGTAGTCGTCACGTCTCTGCTACTCGTGCTGCTTGTGTTTTTCGAAGCTGGGACTTTTGTCGTGAGGTGTGGGAACTCGTTTAGCCCAATGATAATCTTGTATCCACTGCCGCCACTTGTCGTGGGTTTTCGTCTCCTCAAGCTCTCGCCAGATATACAAACCACACGAATCTCCCCGGGTGGACACGTACTGGCTTGTTGTTCCCGCTCACGTGGAAGAGCAGCCAGCGTCGGGCCTGTGGCCTCGCCCATCACTGGACCGGCGCCACTACCTCCGCCATATGCGAACGCTACAGCAGCTGCCGTCTTGTCCGCTAGAATATTAATATGACTGATACGTCCGTCGGCTTCAAAGCGCAGCTCATGTTTCCACAAGTGTCGAAAGCGTCGTCCACTCTCGGCACTTCGTATCGTCTCTCGACCAGAGACCACAGCTAGATCTCCTCGACGTGCCACATGCTCGACGCCATAGTGCGATACGTCCATCGAGCCATGTAAGTTGGAAAAGAACGCCAGCACGCCAGAAAGCCCGTGATACTCGCCTGCAATAGGAACGCTAGGAGGATAATTCGACGTCAACGTGATGTTGGGGTGGAAACTCGGCATCAGCAACGCGAAGTTGCCTTTCCGTGCTTGAATACAGCCCCAAGCGTCGTAGAACATGTTTAATTCCACACTCACAGACGTTCCTAGTAGTGTTAGCGTCTGTATCCTCGGTCGTCGTGGGGTAGATAGCGGTAGAGTCTTCCGTGGGGACGTGTCAATTTTTGAACCCATTGTCTTGAGTCTCCGCTGTGCCTTTGGCAACACATTCTGTACCTGTTCTACTACTGCACCGAGTAGATGAATCCACAATACTCTCTCCAACTCACTGTCCACTGTGAGGTGGAGCGACTTGCTCTTCTCCTTGGTTTTAACGTAGAAGCCGTGGGGACGTCCCACGTTCTCTTTCTCCACAGATGTGACTGTGTAGCTATGCTTCTTGTCGCTTACTACTGTACAGTTGCCGTCCTGTTGCATTTGCTGTTGCTCCTGCTCCTGAGCTTCGAGAAAGCGGCCGCGAGACTCGAACACACGCAACGTAGCGCCGTCCAGACTTAGATACACGTCGTCCCAGCGCGGCAGCCAGTCGCCTTTCTTGTGTGCAGGTCCGTCCCAGTGGATTGGGATGAGTTGCATGAGTAGGTTGGCGCCGACAGCGTCCGTGAGAGACGATGACGTGCCTAATGAACGCTTTTGTCGTCGTTCATGAGGCTGTTGAGGGTCCAAATGCGGCGTAATCGGAGCAGAAGGCGGATTAGGAGATATATCTGCATCTAAGGAAGAGAATGAGCCGCTTCTCTCGCGTGGAGACGCAGAAGAAGGCTCCATTACGCGCGTCTAGTTGCGCGCACCTACGCGCTCGTGAATCAGTTTCGAGATGATGTTTTATTCCTGAGGTCACTAAAATAACCTCGTTACACTGATACTTTCGTCACTTCAAAAAGTGTAGGTTTGTCGAATGTAGCCATCTTGTATACTTGCACTACATGTAACGTTACAGGTTGCTGTAAACGGCGCCCACAAGCAGCATGGCTGAAATCGTAGCAGTACCCGCGATGACTTTGTCGGGGAAGCGCATGCAGTACAGTACGATGTCACCGAGTAGCTTGGAGTCGAAATGCTGTGCGTCTGGACGCATGGGGAGTGGAGAACCCGCAGTCCCAAAGATATTTACCACAGCGCGAAGTGTCAATCCCCACAACACGAAGTCGTGAACTTCACGACGAGGAAGACGCTCGTCATCGGGTGGCGGGTTATTGGGTCTCGGCAGATAAATACTGTCAAACTGCATGTTGCCCAGCACTTTCTTGGCAAGGGCCAACACACGCGGATGCATTCGCAGACTAACAAGACTGTCTTCCAACGGATACGTAAGTACCTGATACCGGCGTGTGTTGAAGAACTCCTGTACGTCCACCCAGAAGACGTCTGAGATCTCTGACTCCTGCAGCTTCGGCTTGTAGTCGTGCTCGTCCGCTGCCGCATCAATGAAGAAGACTTGGCAACAAAAAGTTGCAGTTGCAACACCAAAATTATCAACAATTGTCTTCGAAACTAAAAAAACAGTTTTTGTTACCTTGTGTGCTGACACTCAGTGAGCGAAGATGCGTTTGAATTGGCGGCAAGTGGCCGATCCAATGCACATGTCTAGCAAGGCAACAGCAAAGTCAGTTGCAACATCCTTTTCTGCCTAGGCAACAGTAGCCGCGTACTCATTCGTGAGGTCCAGTCCGACCTCCTCCATCGTCTCGCGTTGCGCCGTCTCACGAAGCGATTCCCAGTCCGTCCATTCGCCAGAAACGTCGTCCAGTGCGTTGAGGTCCATCTTGGTCTTCTTCTGGCGACGGCCGCCGGGGAACGCGATCTGGCCGCTCCATGTGTCCTTCTCATTCACGCTACGCCGTACAAACAGCAGTTCGAGCGACCGCTGCTCCTTCTCCTTCCATCGGAATACAGCGGCCACACTTGCACGCTGTTGTGAGAAAAATGCCAAAGATTTAAAACTTGTAAACAGTCGCGGGTCTCAGCTCAGGAGACTGCTAAACGCACCACGAAGGGCGCATCATAGCGCGGGGGAGGTTGCTTGGCCAGGTTACGCTTGAGGAGCGGCACGAGCGAAGTTATGACGCTCTGTTCAACGAACCTCCGCGTGCTCATTTTGCTGGTCGGTCGGTTGAAGGGGGAAGCTGACGTGCGAAAGAGCAATTGGGGGTAGGGCTGAAAACTCACAAAACCTAGTGTCAAAAAAGCGAACTGCTTGTTGCCTCCTTTGTCGTTGGAGACTTGCAAGAAATAAGCCTTTATACTAAGCAATTTTGCATGGATCGGTGTCCTCGCAACGCTCAAAGTTTGATCAGGGTTTGAGTCAAACTCTGATTAGACCAGAACAACGCGTGAGCCCAGTGGACCACAGTGTGGTGGCAGGCAGATGGCTGTTGCGGATCAACTTTGCGGACCAACCACGAAATTAACCAAACGATCCAGAAGCAACCACTGGCAGCGCTATCTTATCGGTGACATGCTGTCCGACAACCTGTGGAGGTGGCCAGTTCAACACCGGATTTTTGGGTTATTTTAAGAAATCAGAAGAGCTCTAGCCACCGCTATGCATCCATTGAGCCATCGCCCCGAAAAGGAGACTATTAATACCAGAGCGGACATGTTCCTCTATTAATACTTTACGAAGCTACTAAATCAACAGCACCCTTCGCGAATCGCGAATCGCGATGCAACACCCGACGTCTTGACGGCAAATGCCACTCACTTACTTTTCAGCTGTGAAATATAGTATTCTTGCCCAATACCATTCTTAAACCGACATCAAAACTCCATGTCAAACCCTTAGACACAATAAACCTGTGAAAATACGTACATAAACCTTTTTCGGGTACATCCAGTATGCCTGCCAAGGCCTCTACTGTACCAAAAACGTATTTGACTTGTTTTCACTAAGCCACCCGGACTTTGAGCATTTTTGACAACGGCAGCTGTATCATATTCGAACTGGCACACATCTCGGTCTTCTCTACCTCTGTTAAAGATGGACCTGAACAACCTCAAGGTCATGGCCAACCGTGCTGGCAACACGCTCTACTTTGCTGGTGCAGCTGCCGCTGAAATTGGCAAGGAGAAGGGAACGCAGGCGTTCGCCGCCGCGTCGGGGGCAGCCGCCGTCGGCCGCGACAAGATGAAGAGCTCTACGACGTTTCAGAGCGCCACAGTAGCTGCGACGGTGGGGCGGGATAAGGTCAAGACGTCGCAGGCCTTCCAGGCGGCCTCGTCGGCTGCCGTCGTTGGTAAGGAGAAGGCCACGACGGCCGCCTCTACCGCTGCAACTGTTGCATCCGCCGGTCGCCTCAAGGCCGTGAGCGCGCTGGTGCTAGCCAAGAACCGCATCACTGGGCTCAAAAGCGGCAACTCGCCCAGCTCACCGACGTCTGGCAATCTGCCGTCGGCTGAGAAGGAGTTCTACAAGTACGAAATGTCTGAAGAGGAGAAGAAAAAGAAACGCGCACAGGCTCGCCGTCGCGCCGAGAAGAACAAGCAACCCAGCTCCAGCTCCAGCTCTGGCCCGAGCTCTCGACGAGAAGGGAGCTCCAGACCCGCTACAAGCTCGAGCTCCCGATCCGCCGGATCAAGCAGCAAGTCCAGCAGTAGCAGCTCCAGTAGCAGGAGCAACCGATCGGCCGGCAACAGCCGGCGACCGGGCAGTAGCAGACGCAACAAAGGAGAGCACCAATTGTAGAAACAAGAGAATGCATGTAACCATCTTCACTGCTGGTGCAATGAGCGCGTACAGTACTGTACCATCAGATAAGTCGTATGTCCGTACGTTGAGTGTGGACAGTTCGACTAAAAGCGGCTCACAAAGCTACACAACGCACAGCCCTGCCTCAGATCTCGTAGAGGCCGCGCACGAATCGCACATAGTCGAGCTCGTCTTCGTTGCGTGCAGTTCTCTCTGCCAGCAACACTTCCACTACGAACTCTCCCCACGGTTTAGCTGGTCGATCGTACGGATTGAGACTTCGAAACAGGTGTGGAGAGTCCGTTCTAGAGTTGCGGACGCGGCTATTTGCATCGGGTCCGTGGACACGTTGGTGCTTTCGAGGTGGCCGTCGTGTTGATGTGTCGTCGTATTGGCCTTCTTGGGTCGGATCTGCAGTGTCTTGACGTTGCTGTACCGGTTCATCCTGATGCAAGGAAGGTCGCCGAGACGCTTGAACATGTTCGCTCTGAGGTGGTACTAGGTCGCCTACGCGAGGAGATACGTGGCTGGAAGCTGGAGAATCATCGCGAGGGGAATCTCGACTTTGATTCGTTGCGGAAAAAGTCTGTCTATCATCTTTAAGAGAAGGCTGTCGAGTCGTATCTTCTTGAGGGGGTGAGGGCTGCGCTTGATCCACTAGATCCTGACTTGGCGTGCTCGACTGTTCGTTGCCAGCCACTTGAACAGGCAGCAACTCTCCTTGACTCGTTATTTCCTGAGTGATAGGTACACTACCTTCCAACACACTTTGAGAGCTCTCATCTGCCCACAACAAGTCTTCGTCTTCAGACGTCGGGTCATGATACAAACTGTCTTCATCTAAGTCGACTGGCCTCTTAAGAACTTGAACCGAACGCATTGTCGTAGCAGAACGCACAGCAGTTCCTGTAGCCCTCGTTCTGGGTCTTCGTAAGCGCGCAAGCGGCTCATCGTCGCTGTCTATGTAACCCTCAATCGATTGGCTTCTTGTAGTCCGCCGCGTCTGATTTATAGGCCCCGAAGATGAAGCTCTGCGTGTCCTCCTCGCTGTCCTCACTGTCTTTGGCGTTACCTTGCCATTCGTCTGTTTTGGATCGATTTGCAGCCGGATCGCTTCGGGTATGAATTTCCCCGCACGGTAGGCGAAGTCCTCGACCGTGCGGTCATGGTAAGCGTACGTTTTATCTCTGACCTTCATGACTTCCACGAAGACTGCGAGTTGCGCCGACCAGCGCACTGTTGGGCTCTTGCCGTCGACGATGTCCCGCATCTGAGACCCAACCACGCGCATCTCAGTGAGCGACCATTGTGCGTAGCCATCGGAGCTGTGCGTCGAGTCGCTAAGTTTCATACTGACTTCGCCTGTGCGTAACGCTTGGAGCATAGCCACACTCGCCTCGAGTGAGGTGCACTTCCAGCCGCGCTCTTCGCAAATAGCCGCGTACACTGTGTACGTGTCATCGTTCCAGCTCCAAGAAAAATCGTCACGGTATCCCACCCAGCCCTCGTCCACCTCCAGCAGCAGCCGCGCTACCTCCGCCGTCCACTGCTCATTATGGAATGTGATAGCCACCTCGGTCACTCCTGGCGTTGTTGCCATCTTCGTCCTGATCTCGAAAAAAAAACTAACCGAAAATACTGCTTTTGATCTTTTTATTACAAAGTCTAGATTCTAGACTCTAGGTCGACCAAAAATGAGTCAGCTCTCATTTTTTGCTTTCATTTTTAAATTTAAGTAGGCTATAGTGCTACCGTAGTGCTTCTGTACGTCCTTCATTGAATTTAAAACACTATTTTAATTCATTTAAATCATTCATTCTGTACAAGTAAATCAAATATTTTTAGAATTTATAGATACTTGTTTTAAAGGACCGTACCAACGGTATTACTTCGAAGTACGTAGTAGTACTGTACTATTAGTACATTTTCTAGTTCCACAAGTAGCACTACGTGATAGCATGACAGTACTAAAATAAAGAAAACACTTTTTTCTCTCGAGCATAGACAAATGCCACCACTGTAACAATCAGCTTTTCAATCGTAAATGAGACTTCGCCACTGCCAGTGCACGATGCTGTTGACAAACTCGGAGATGGAGCGTCGCTGTGCGAACGTGAACTGTTTGTTGGTCGGTTCCTCGCGTCGGCAGATCTCCACGCGTACGTTGCCCTCTCCCTCTTCTTCAAAGCCTCCCTCGCTGAACTGGTCGTTGATATTACTACAGTGACTGCCATTACCACAGACGCTCTGACTGGAGCCATCGTTGCTGTTGACGCCACTGACACTGACCTCTCCCTGTTCTGCGGGTGTCACCGGGTCCCTGGGCGTGATGAACGTCAAGTGGATGATGATATCAAACGTGTCGGGGCACAGTAGTAACAAGTGGCTGCTGTTCTCGTCTTCCTCTTGGAACTGGAACTCCCGTAGCTGGTCTGCGTAGATATCTCGAAGCCGCAGTGCAAGCTCCTGCCAGCACACGCCAGATACACGCAGCAACTCGTCCAGTCGCGGGTCCAGCGCCTCCAAAGGCGTACAGATAGACAGCTTGAGACACTCTTCAAGCTGCTGTGGGCCAACATCCACACGGAACAAGTCCGCCGGAAGCGCCAACGTGCGAGCCACATCGGCACCAGGGCCACGTGAGTCATCAAACAGCAGGCGAGACCACAGCAAATCACGTTCGTAGTGTTGAGCAGCAACGCGGAACAACTCTTGCGTGAAGAGCTGAGCTTCCTGCAGAGCCCGCTCCACCGGTAGCACACCATTGCCCACGCCTAGTTCCGAAGGGGTACTCTTGAGTAGCAGAAGCTGTACAGCGTCCTTGTCCAGAGGCTTGCGTGTCAGCGGTTGCGTTGTGAGGACCAGCGAGTATCCGCCCAACGGCTCCACCTTACGTGTCGACACAGTTATCGTGGACGGAGATCGATGGAAGAAGCTTCCTGATGACGAGTGACACACGACTGCATCCGGTGTACCAAACTGCAGTAAGTCTAACACTTCGTAGCGTGAGCCATGACATGCGATGTATCGGAGTAAGATCTGCACCATGATCAGCTCCGAGCAGTTGGACTGCAGCGACGCAGGTTGCAGCTTTACTGTCACCATGTGGATCACACAGTCGCGCCAGAGCAGCGACAAGGGTGCTGCAGATGTTGACGCGGTGCTCGCTTGAGCTGGGCCCAAATGATGTACCGGCTGCGGATGCGGTTTGTTGGCAGCTCGTCGAGTAAATCTCGCTGCAGCTCGCGAAGGCGGTCGATGGCCATCACTGCTACGTGGTGCAGGTGTCAAGGTAGCCCTGACATCGTTCGTCCTTGTCAGTGCCGTGCTCTTGCTGCTGGGATACCTGGCAGGTGACGACGCTGGGGCTGGTGTACTGAACTTCTTGGGTTCCTCAGGCGGGTCCGGGAAGGCTTGCAAGAAGCATTGAAGCCCCTTGACGATGTTCTGGAACGTGGACGCTTTCTTCCAAGGCAGCGGTGGGGTCACGACAAGCGCGTCATCCTCACTAAGATGCTTGCCTACACTGTGACCGTGTCCATTCTCTGCGTCGTGGAAGTCGTGCGACGCGTCAAGCCACTGCAGAAGATGTCGCTGGAAGTAGCGGATGGTGAACCCGTAAATGAGAGCTTGGGTCTGCAGCTGAGCACGTAGCCACGACGCTACACTCTGCACTCTTGCTCCAGACACTCCAGTCGTCTTCTTCCCAGTCTTGGCAGCCAAACGATTCTGGAAACGCAGATCTTGCTGCTCCAAGTCGTGCAAACTCACAAGTACCGCAGTCAGCAGCACGCCTCGATTGTCGCATTTCACCTCAAGCACCACGATGGAGAGAGGGTCATTGCTTGCGCTATTCGTCCACCCAGCCGCTTCCGCTGCAGCTCTTTCCGGGTGGTAAAAGTACTCGGAGAAGCCTTCTTTGCTAGGTATGTCGCTCTCATTTGCTGCGCTGGGGTCCACAGGGAAGGCACGTGCATGGCTCCTGCCGGTAGCTAGCGTCCGAAGACGTCGGAAGCCAAGCGTACGTAAGTGCACTGCGTACTCTTTATAGAATTCACTCGCCACTTCAAGACGCAGTGGCTCCAAATTCGCAGCCACCTGCTGCTTGATACCACGAACGTCAGCTCCTGTACCGGCGTCCATGCTGAGTACAGTGTGCTCGGTGTACAGCTTGGCCACTGAGCATTCGTCTTGATCAAACACGAACTCGCGCTTGTAGCTGAGCAAATGAACCAGATCCATGCACGACTGAAGAGCACGTAATCGCCCACTGACGATCCCGTTCTCGTCGCCGTCAGACAATCCAATCACCTCTGCTGCTACCCATCGCTCCACAAACGCAGCTCGGAATCGTTGATGCAGCAAGAGATGTCCACTCTCCACTAAATGCATCACGACATCCTTCGCGACGGGCTCCTCCATCTCTTCGTCCGCACGCATCGACGCGAGCTTCTCCAGCAGGTTCATGCCCACTGTGTGGCTAGTTGATTGCGTCTCGAATACTTCCCATCGCTTTTCCAAAGCTGCACAGTAGAATGCAAGAGGAGTTCGATTCTTCTTGGGGTAGTCTTCGTCTTCCTCGAGCTCGATCAAATGTCGCGGCTGGCCTGTCAAACTCGTTGCCCATCGCTCTGTGTTGCCAGGGAATAGAAAGCGAGGCCCCCAAGCACACTCCAATCGCTTCTTCCACGAACTGTGGATACGACCCGGGTCTGCGTCGCTTGTGTTTCTTCGCAATGCAGGAGCTGTAGTTACTGCCAACCCTGTCAACGAAGATGAAGACGACGACGACCCCAACTCGGAAAGATTAGTACCTCTCGATCCTCTTCGTACAGGGCGATTCGCTCCACTGAACGCGCCTTTCGAAGCAGATTTCGTCGACCCAGGATCATTCTTTACGTGTCGATCCGTCCGGGTTCCACTGCCAGCATCTGCATTCGCTTCTGCTCCACTTGCTGCAGCATGCAGCCGCGGTCCTTTCGTGTTGTTCAATGGCAAATCCCATGGCGCGACGCTGTCTCCGGATGCGCCTCCAGAAGACGCACCAGCGTTTCCGTTGCTATGCGTTGCACCGACGCCTGGTTCACCCGCACGGCCCGGGAAGGCACTACCCCCTCTTGCACGGGCTCGTGCTGCCATCAACGCAGTCGCAGCTCCCGCACCGCCACGCATCCGAGCTGCAGCCTCGCTTCGGTTCCCACCTGGATACGGCAACGCAGGACTTGATCCACTCAACCGCTTATGTGGGGACGACGCTATGTTGTCCGATACGTTGCTGCTACTTACAATGCCGCCACTCCTGATCCTTCCAGACGTTTGGTTTCCTGGTCCCTCTCCGTTGCTGAGTAGACTCCGTTGCGATAACGAAGGCCCCGATATTTCTCGTGTCAGATCGGGAATACTTGGAGGTCCAATTGAAACGGCGAGATTCGAGTTACTCTTCCCTCGGGGACGCGCGTACTGCGAGTCCAGTGCTTCTAACGCCGATTGAGTCTGCGCCTCACGCAAATATACGCCAAGAGCAGTACCTTCAATGGATCGTAAGCGACTGGCGTCCAACACTCTAGGGAACCAATCGTTCGACTGCAAGATCGACAACACGGGGGTTCGATACTCAATAAAGTGCACAGCAGAGTCTTTACAGAGCACAGCAGGATTCTTGCCCACTCCCTTTCCAGCTCGTTCCGTTCTTCCGACGGTCAGGAACAAACTACGAGGTTGCAACACCACGGAACCCAAGGGAGCAGCGGCTGAAATACCCGATTTTTCCAGTAGTAAACTCTGAAGGAGCTTGTCGCGAAGCATACTCCACGTCAACACCCGAGCCAAGTGCGTCGCTAACGCTTCCACCAGCGCCAAGCTCATATTGTATCCGTACAACCGCAGACCCTTGCTGGTCGACAAGTCAATGACGTAGTAGAACGATCGCTTCACTTCTCGATGTGCATGAGACCCCACCTTCTGGTGGTGATGGTAGCTGCTCCCGCTGCTTGAGTAGAGCAGAACATCTCGTTCGGTAAAAGTCGCACTCTTTGGGAGATGCAATTGATGCGACAGGCCTCCCATCGCTCCAAGCAGAGACGACGTCGTCGAAGACACAGACGGCGCTGTCTGTAGTCGCGAAATGGCATCCGAGTTTGCACCAGAGGACGCCCAAGTTAGCGGCATTCGCCCCGAGACCGAGTCGATATCCGAAATCTCCGAATGAACTGAATCCGCTCGCATCAGCTGATGAAGCGCGGAGCTCATTGACGCTGTCGTTTCGGCGTCCGAGTCACTTGAGTCCGCGTCGTCGCCCGAGTCTGAGACGTCAACATGCTTCACCACCAGTCGAAACTTGTCTGGAAGAGGATCACTAACACGGATGATGTCGCTGCGACAGCTAACACACTCATAACTACCTGACAGCCTTGATTTCGCATAAGGCGCAGGTCGTAGATGTTGAGGCAGACAGCACAAAAAGCTTCGAATCTGCGTCACAGCGTTCTCAAGATCCCAAGATGCGATCGACTGGCTCGCTCCGAGACTAGTAACAGAAGACGAGGGCAGTCGACATGCACTCTTAAACAGTGATATCAACTTGTCCACATCTGAAGGTAGTCTCCGGTCAGTATCAAATGCTTCCGTGTGACTTTCATCACTGCTTGCGTCATGTCGCCCATTGTATGACTGGAGCTTCTTGATGATCGATTCAATGTGGTAGTCGTAAAGCGCTTCGTCCATAAAAGTCTCCACGACCTGACTCAGCTCTTTCGTATGGATAGAGCCACGGATCCACACTTGGCATCTAGCCACCACCAGTGTAGAATCCACCGCGTCTTCAGAGCTTGAGTACAATTCTGAGAGTCCTGGGATATCACGCATTCGCTTCAGCCGTGGCGAATCTGTATTTTCCTTGTCCTTTTCTCCCGTTTCAGCCTTGATGGGACTGTTCCGGATGAGATCAACTCGCATGAGAGCAAGTCCCTTGCCAACTTGGGACAAGAATCCTTGCGAGAGTCGCAAGTCCGGATTCAGATTGAGAACATAGGACGCCTGGGCCACGATTTCAGGCGATGCGGAGACTGAGTCTCCTTCAGAAGAAACAGCATTCTTCATCTCCACATCATGTCGTTTCGAGAAGAACACAGGGGATCGAAGTGCTGCGTCAAATGTCCCTTGGACCTCCGTCAACGCTTTCTGGTAGCCACCGAAACACGCAGGATGCGTACGAGCGCTATCGTGCAAAACGGGTTTCTCTTTCCCTTCATCTTCACTCGAATCTTGGGTTATTGCCTTCGAGGTGTCCTCGTTGGGTAAGCTGACGGTGCTGCCTGCAGACACCAAACTCCCGCGTCGAGCTCCGCGCAACGAACTATTCGCAAAGTCTCGCGGATTCCGAGTGGGTAAGGAGGCGCCACTCGTAACAGGACGGATGTACGGAGTCAACTTCAGCGTTTGTGACAAGTAATGTAGCAGTGTACAGCAATCAGCTACTTCGCGAGGAAGAATGTAGTCCACCGTACTCGAAGGCTCCGCTGCGGGTGGACACAAGAACGCCAGATCCGTCGGACTCAGCTGGAACTTGGTGTTTCGTGCTAATAGCTTCATGAGCACGACCTGCGTTGCTTCATCGAGCTTCCTCTCGAGCAGGCGACACAGCTCATGGGTCACTTCTTCTCCAGCCTCAGACACACCAAACACTTCGAGTCGAATCCCCGGGACTCCTGATGGTGTTGTTGTTGTCGAGCTCGTGGTCCCACCGCCACCACTGCCTCCAGTATTCGATTTTGAAAAACTACTGCGTTCTTCGGCCGGTTGACTGCCAACGGAAGACGTCGTGTTGTCGTAGAATATGCTGATCTTCATATAAAACACGTGGCCGTCTCGATCGCGGTAGACAAAGATATGGCGTCGATTGTGCACTTGGAACTGCTCCAGCGCTGACGTACACAACATGTTCAGCGCGAAATTGGGCGCTAAGCGCTCGTGAAGCTTGAAAACCGCAGAGTAGCGCAAGTCACACTCAAATTGACCAGGCCAAAAGAAACTTGCGTGTTTCATCTGTCCACTCGAGGCATCCAACGCACTCTGTGACCCAGCACGTCGCTTCGGTGAGCGTGGACTCAATGGCTGGTTGCCGTTGGGTGGCAGCAGAAGTCCATTGCACGTCCGAGTCTCGTGAAGCTGGAACAAAAGCAGAAACTGGTTCACACGACGACATACCGCACGAACGCCAAGCTGAAGACGGGTCAGAGCTCCCAAGCGATTAAACCCGTTCGAGGACGCCTCAACGCGGTCTGGGTGGTGGAACCGCAAGCTAACGTGGTCAGATGCAAGCTCAAAGTACGCCCAGTACGGGATCTCAAAGCCAGCGTCAGTCTTGTCGTCCGACTTCTTCTTCTTCACAACAAAGTACACGCCATTGCAATGATGCACGCTAAGCAAATCGCCCTTCTCAAACTCGCGCTTGAACAAATCGAGCGGATTCACTGGGGCTTCTTGACTGCGACCGACAAACTCCAATGGATACGTGGCTTTCGTCACAGCATGCTCGGGTAGATCGTCAAAGAGTCTCTGCACTAGAGCTCCAATTGCAGGGGTGATTTCGTTTGCGGACTTGAGAATGGACAGAATCTCCACGCTGCACCATTCCTTAATGTCTTTTCGCACGCGCGTGAGCACTTGGCGCTGGAACAGGTGCAGCGTCGAGAAGCTGTGCGAGCGCATGGACGGCAAAACGTTCGTCTTACTGGTCTGTCCGCTGCTGTCCATTTCAAAAGGCATCGTAGATGGTACGCGGCCACCATCGAACGCACGTTCGTTCGGCAATGTCAGCGTCACTAAGCGTAACGCAATACGACCTGACGGCAATTTTGAGAATGCTTCGGCAATCTGCGTGACGTCAGTCGAGTTCGAGTACTTGTGAGACCCATAGTTAGTCTTCAACGATTCCAAGAACGCGTTAAACTCTTCCCGTCGACTAGTAGGCGACATAAGCTGCTCTTGAGCAACCATTTCCTTTCGTATATCATCGTACGCAGCAGTACTGGAAGAACGACGTAGCAGCTCCGAGTCTGGCGTAGCTCTTGGAGCATGAACGTCTGCAGAATTCGATCGAGTATCCCGTGAGCCATTGAGCACGCGGCATTCAAACCTGAAGAAGAAAGGCACTGAAAAGCTGGACGTAGCCACCGCAACTTCTTTGTTAAACTCGGCGTCCTCCTCAACGGTTCCATGATGCTGTTCACTGCCCGAACTGCCTTCGGTTGAGGTATCCACAGAGGGAGGTAGCTCACGCCCCAAGCTTCCACGTCTGTGTCGAATCGGACGCTTTTCGGCGGCTTCTTCTCCTGTTTCCGGGTGGACAGTCGTGGCGTTTCCACTATCAACGCTGCGATTTGCCTGTTCTTCACCAGTAGCAACGGCGTTCTCGTTTTCTTCCTTTTTCTGGCGCTCAACAATTGCGTCTCCGTCGCCATCATCTGAGTCCTCCATGAGAATATGCAAGTCATACTCACTCACAGACAAGTCTTCATAGATTGTGTTCTCGTTGCCCGTAAAATAGTAGTACTTGGTGCCGGCAATTGGGATAAAAACACTTGACAAGATTGTCTCGAAAGACTTGGTCAGTTTATCCTTCAAGATATCCGCGCCAATGCCCGCAGAGACCACCGCTGCCGCTGCTGGACTGAGAGGAGGGATTCTGTGCGATGCGGCTGTCTCCATCATGCGATACAAGAGCGTGATGTCCACATCCACAGGCACTTCCACACAGCTCGACAGCGCCTGGAGCAAATCGCTATGCTGAACCGCCCCTCCTTCGCGTAGAGCCATGTAAACACCTCGAGAAAAGTTATGCTCGTGCGCCCGCTTAACCTTCTTGCGAAATCGACGTGACGCAAGAATACTGTCAGAACTCAATCGATGATGAGAGTTCTCTGATGATAAACGAGCTGCAGACTTCTTCCAAAGACCACTTCGATCAAGTGGGATAGCTGGACGATCGTCTTTCGGCTTCTCACGCCGCTTTGAGAAGAATAACTGTTTGAGGATAGTGTGCGGTAAATCCACACGGTCTAGCATCTCGTCACTTCTGTCGTGTAAATCCGTCGACAACCTGGAGAGCGAACACTCGTAAAAGGCAACTTGAAAGAAACCTGAGCCCAGAACTCCGCTAGCGTGTTCAATCAGCAGGTGGAAATCACAGCCGTACGACGCGCGACGACTGATATCTTCACAAAACTCGTGGTCTTCAAGGGTAGATGGGAGACGGAGTTTCTGGAAATCGCGGCCGTAGCTCTTTTTTTCATCCCGAGAGCCCTGATAATGGCCCATTCTCCACGATTTGTAGCCTTCGCGGAAACTGCGCCGCCGTTCTTGGTACAGCACAATGTCATCCGCAGACACTGACATTCGCACGACTCGAGACTTGCCTTCCTCTTCCGCTGCACGGACGGAAAACTGTTGCGCAGGGGTCTTGTGGCCTGCCTCCTTCTCGAGAGTTTTGTTGGATAATCTTTCTTCAAACAACGGTTCATCGACCGATACCTTGTCGGATATCTTGGTTTTGACCTGCAGAGTATCCAACGAAGGGAAGAAAGCCAACACGACACAATCATCACTAACCAGCTTAGCAAAGCACTTGCCTTTGCTTAGAGCATGATGTGGAACGCGGTCTTTGAAGGTTAAAGCCAGATGCTGCTTTAACCACAGCGGCAATTGGCCGTCCATTCCTTCTCTGAAGAACCGATCGTCTTCAATGAGGCTGCTAGTAGGTGCACTCGAGTCCGCAACAACGTCTCCATTGTAGTCTGTCCAGGACACTTCGCAGTCACTTAGCCCTCTTAAAGTAAGCTCCAGCATGGAATACAAATTCTCGTTCGCTGTAGAGACTGAAGGCGGGATCTCAGTCCCCCTTGATTCATTTTCTCCGCTCTTGCCATGTTGTAGATACATGAGGAAATGCTCGGTTGATCGCTTTGAAGTTGCTAAGAGTCTGGCCGTGCTGAACGGAGGAAGAATCATACCGTTTTCGGCCGCCATCTGCCGATCCATAACCCAGTGAGAGCCGACAACGTCATCAACGTCCTTGCTCAGCTGATTCAGCAGCTCAATGTTATCTCGCAAATTAATGATGCAGTCAAACGTGTACAGACAGGAGAGGAAGTGACGGTCGCTCTTGAAGAGGTAGCCACGGATAAGATGCAACAGCTCACTCTCACCCAGATACATCGACCCTCCACTCCAATCGATACTCATGTCTTCCTGCTCCATTGACTTCTGCTCGTCTTCCACTGAGCTCGTTGATGAAACAAAAGTTTGTTGGGTGCTATTTCGACGAGCACCACGGACTTCATAGTTCTCAAACGGCGAGCTGTGTCCGATTGCCTGCTTCAGACTCCAATGAAACTTATCGTTTCGCTCAGCTTCATCGGATAAGCGTGTCTTCACAGTGCCATGCTGAGGTTCCATCCAGAACGAAGTCATCAAACAAGTATCCGAGACACGACGAAGCGCATACTGCACAAGCGCCGTCTTGATATGTCCATTTTCATCTTCCATCAAGATTTCTCGGCCAAAGATCACGCTCTCCACATGCGCACTCTGTCCATCCTCTCCTTCGCCCATCTTCCAGTCCAAAACCCAGAATCCACAGCTGATACGAGCATTATGAAGACGCCGCATCACGTCCAGTAATGCCTGTAAATCTGCCACTTCCCATTTCCAGCTTGAATGCCAGACGTATGCTCCGAAAACGCGATGCAACTGCAACTCACTACCCCCACAGCATGTAGTTGACGGAGGAATAGCTCCAGCATTCTTCTCAGCCTCCAACGTCGGTGACGCTACATAATAATCAAAAGGCCCGGGCTCCTGGTCAATTCCATGGAGTAAAAGGGTATCGTGTGTGACAAGCAGACGACTCAGCATACGGTGACATAGAATTACCGGGGTCTCAGTCGGCGACGACGGTAGTAGTTTGGCTGGAGACGGCGTCACTGCGACCTCATTGATACCCGCAAAAATCGTGTTCTTCAAATCGTTCAACACTTGACGGCGTGTCGAAGCTCTAGTCGCGAAAAATGCCACATGAACGGCACATAGCGTCTTGTTCTTGAACTCGAGCCGGACAAAGCAAAGCGCTCCTTTACTTTCTTCTGTACTCATGCTGCCTTCAGCGTGGGTAGTATCTTCACCACCGTTACTGTTCACACTGCGTTGTCGACGCCGTTGAGCAATCCCCCCAGATACCGTAGCAGAAGATGGAGATGGCTTGGCCCTTGGAGGGGCGTGGCTTTTATCGGTAGACGGACGGAGAAACTTTAAGAGCAGATCCTGGGACAGTTTCTGGGAAGACCACTTGACCAGAATTGCCATCAGCGGCTCGGCAAGACTATCAACTCCGATTGAAATGTTCCCACTGCTCGTTCCGTAGACATTTGCGCCATGACTGTGGATCATTCCGTGGGGAACATTGCTTGAGCTGCGCAAGTGCGAGCCAGCGTTGCCACGTTCCACTACACCATGCATTTCGTTTCGATAAAACAGGTCTGTGCAGACATCGCTCTTGACGATGCACAAAATCTCAAAGCGTTCTATGAAAAACCAGCGGTGCCACAGCACAGTAGAGAGCTCGCCGATAATGTTAAACACTGGATGGGAGCTTGTGATCTTCGGAGTCACAGACGCAGACGTCGAGTTGGCACTCGTCCCGAACGAGAACTGGTTGGCAACCGAGTCGCTGGACTCATTGATGCTCGCTGTCGCTGTCATTAAATGCAGCAGCACACGATCCACATCTTGAACATTTTTGATAAAGTCATGAACAAAAATGGGTGATGCCAGGGATACATCTCCGCCTGAACCTCGAGCGGCATTACCTCGGTCCCCAATTGAGTGCTGGATGGTGTCTTCAAACGCTCGAAGGAAATCTGCGTACGCCAGGATATTCATCTTGACGTACCACTCACTCCACGCTGTATTCTGTCCCTTGGAGAAGATAACGTTCGACTTTTTAGCAGAAGATGACGAGCCCGGCCCCTTTATTCCCTGACCACTACCTCGGCGGCCTGTATGAGATGTAGTAGCCGATGTAGCCAAAGTCGCCGAGTTGTCAGTCGATGTCGATACCACGTATTCAAGCCAAACATTCTGCTTCCATTGGAATAAGAACACAATCAGGATCTTGGTGATATCGTTGGAGCCGCTCGCAGCATTCGAAGCTTCGCCATTACGAGGAGAATCCACACCTACTCCATCTGTCTGTTGAGGCTGTTCGTAAGTCTTGACATAGACCTTATTTATCGAAAACCCTTCACGTAGTCGAGCCTCCACAATTCGATTCACATCAGCAAAAATCCGATATTCATGAACTTTTTCTCGCCACATCCGATAGGGTCGAAGAGGCAGTAGAGTTCTCCCGTCAAAAGACGTGCTAGCCATCTCGTTAAGCTTCACTACGGGCGCCGAGTTCGCGTGCACACTTGACTTGCGTAGAAAACACGCGTCTTGCAACCCCGTCATCTTCTTGACTACATTACTGCACACGCTCGTCGTGCCGTAGCAACCCTCGTGGATAGCAGCGTAGTCAAACACTGTTCCGCCAGTATATTCTGCTACAAAGCGTAACAAGTGTGTATCTGGCACGAATCCGAACGTCGCGTTCAGTTCGTCGTCTGCACCCCCTCCTCCAATCCGCAAAAAGTGGCACTGAATATCATGACGCACAAGCTGCATCAGCAAATTGTCGTAGGAATAGGCGTCTCGTACATCCACGACACCATCGGTGACTAGCACCATCATCGGCGTGCAGTCTGTAGGCAGCGAGTTGAGTGCAAACACGGCGTTCTGCAAGATCCAGTCTAGTGAAGCTGGTGTGGCATTGCCCAGATAGCCATACTGTCCACGTTCCTGTGCTTGAGATGCCCAGTCGTTCTCAATGAGCTGGAACCGTTCCTTAATCAACTGTAAGAACCCTGATGCATTGGACGGCGTTACAATGTACCCCTGCATCAATACACAGAGTGATTCCACCAGAGCCCCCTGTACCAGCACCGACACATGGATCTCTGGGGTGAAAGCTACACCTCCCACCTCCATGGGTCTCAACATACTCCAGATAAAGAGCTCTACAGTCTCGTAAAGCAGGTCCAGGAAGAGTGTTCCAGACGACGGATCGATGGACAGAATCGAGGGTGATGCATCTAGACATAATACACAGCGGTAGCGCTGGAACACGGCGCCGACGCGAGTGTCCGGCATCAATTGTCCCGGGATGTTTGTTGTCACACCTTGCAGCTGAAGCACAGGTCTCTCTGTCCAGTTATTGTTGTCTCCTATTGGATCTGTGTCATCTACGCCGCTCTTCTCGGGATTCAAGGCGTCCATTGGCTGTTCGTATAGAACGGCGGCTACACTCATGCCCTCGCCCAGCTCGATGCCGCGGCTTGGAGGTGTCTCCGACGCTTTGACTGCATGATCTTCGTCGGGTTCAGCCGACGCAGCGGACGGCAGCAGCTCCTGTGCCAGCTGTCGAAAGTGCCACAGTGATAGCGTCGCGTGGTTCAGTACATTCACGTCTGCCCCAGAAAGGATCAGCTCCTCCACGCGCGGCGCAGAATGCGGAGCCGATGGCTCCATGATGACCTACACTCCTGTGTACCTGGTTCAAAGACGCAAATGTCACTAAAGTCACTCTTCTGAGGTGTTTCTATTTAACACTAACTGGTATTTGGAGCCGCACTTCTTAACACTGACAGAAAAGATCAGAGCTCCTGCCACCATGGGCAAGGTTTGTGCGCCTTTGAGCCTCGCTTGCCATCCGACACACGCTGTAATGTCGTTTAATTTCTCGCTGTGTCTCTCTACCGACTCTTATATATTCACCAGGGCAAGAAGAAGCAGTCAAAGAAAAACCACAAGCGCAAGCAGAACGGGGCACCCGTCCCAACGTCCGAGGACCCCGTAGCGCCCGCCTCCAACCACAGTCTTAATAGTAACGGGTCAGGAAAGGGTGGGAATCCACTATCTAACGATGCAGCCAAGCGTCTGGACCGCAACAAGCAGCGAGCGATCATCAAGCGTCTTATGACGCAGGCGGATGAACAAGGGCTGCAGATGGGGGACAAGCGCTTTGTGCTCTCAGCCAAGTGGTGGGAGCGCTGGTGTGAATTTGTAGGCTATGACGACAAGCAGGACATACCCGCGACAGGGGCAGGTAACCCTGCACCCAGCCGTATCAACAATCTTCCTCTGCTTCATGTCGGCTCGGACACGTCTCTGGATGAGCTTATGGGTGGCCCTCTGCGACCACAACTGAAGGAAAACTACCATTACGTGCTCCTTCCGCAAGAAGTTTGGGATGCACTTCTCATTTGGTACAGTGGAGGACCGACCATCGCTCGGTTTGTCGTGCAGGTCGGAGATCCGGAGCTAGGCAACGCTTTCAACCGTGTGCAAGTCTATCCGGTAGGATTAAATTGCTGTCGCACTGTATGGAGGATGATGAAATTGACTGACGGACGTCTATATCGTAGGAACAACCTGAAGATGCAGAGCCTGAGGCTACAACAAATGGCACGAAAGACAGCTCGATGCAGAAGATCGATGCAAATGGCAAGAATGACGACTCGGCAGATGGAGCCAAGCTTGCTGTACAGCGTAAACCTGCTGCTGTATCGTGTTCGATACCCAAAATCTGTGGAGCCTGCAGGAAACCCACGGGCTCGCTGAAGCGATGTGGAAGTTGCCAGTTAATTTGGTACTGCGGTGCGAACTGTCAGATGTCGCACTGGAAGTATCACAAGGGCGTGTGCCGCTCGACTCTTACAGCGGAAGAGAAAGAGGACGACATTTTGCAGGGCTTGCAAGCAGAACGACGAGGGAAAATGGGTCTTCGCAACCTGGGAAACACGTGCTTTATGAACTCGGCACTGCAGTGTTTGAGTCACGTGGAGTTGTTGACGCGCTATTTCCTGAGCAATCGGTACAAGAAGGACTTGAATCGTGACAATCCGTTAGGAACGGGTGGAAATCTAGCCGAGGAGTACGACGGTTTACTGAAGGAGCTGTGGTTCGGTACTGTGCCCAGCACGTCGCCTGCCAACTTGAAGCGAGCTATCAGTCGCTTTGCGCCGCAGTTCTCTGGTTTCCAGCAGCATGATGCGCAAGAGTTACTTGCATATATCATCGATGGCTTGCATGAAGATCTCAATCGCGTCAAGCACAAACCTTATACTGAAGTGAACGAGTCGGACGGCTCGCAAGACGACGCTGCGGTCGCGAAGGAAGCGTGGCAACGTCATCTACTGCGCAACGACAGTATCTTTGTGGATCATGTTCAGGGCCAGTTCAAGTCCACGGTCGTGTGTCCGATTTGCAACAAGGTGTCGATCACTTTCGACCCGTTTAACTGTATCCAGCTTGAGTTACCTCAACAACAGAACCGCCAGATTGAGGTCATTTTCGTCCCAAGTGAGTCTGCCAAGTCCATGACGCGGTATCTCGTCGACGTGCCCAAGAAGGGAAGTGTTCTTGTACTGAAACGGGCACTGAGCAAACTGTGCGGCGTCAGTCCCAGCTCCTTGTTGGCGGCAGATATTTACCAGTCCATGACCTATCGCATTATTGGAGATACCGAGCGAGTACACCGATTTCGAGAAGATGATCGCATTCTCATGTACCAGGTAGACGTCAAGCCAACCGAAGAGCCCGTGCAGTATGGATTTCTGTATCACCGAGTGGGGTCCACTTTGACAGGCGATCCGCTGCTCTTCACGTACACTGCGTCAACTACTTGTGCGGAGATGCTGGCAACGTGGAGCGAATTGTTGAATACTCACGTATCGCAGTCGTCGAGTGCGAAGATCCCGACCAATATGCTGTCTCAATGCGTGTTTCTTACAGACCGCGACGGCATCTTGTTGCGCAATGAGCCTGTTCCTCCAGCTGCCGACTCGAAGTTTCTGGATTTTGCCACGCTTCACGGTGAGGAATTGCCGGACGAGTTAGTGTTCGTCTCGGTCGCCTGGTCACCATCGATGTTGTCATCGTCGGCTTCTCCCCGACCGGACGTCGAGCGGATTGTCAATCACGAGAGTATGCGCGCTAAGTCGAGTGGATCTCGTGGACACGACGGTATTTCTCTGGACGATTGTTTCCGGAACTTTGTCAAGCCGGAGACGCTCGACCAGGCCAATTTGTGGTACTGTAGCAAGTGCAACGAGCACCGACAAGCACGCAAAACCATGGAGATGTGGCGGCTACCAGACGTGCTAGTGCTTTCGCTCAAGCGGTTCGAGTATCGCAATGAAATCTTGCGCGACAAGTTGGATGTGTACGTGGACTTCCCGCTGGAGGGTCTAGACATGTCCCCGTATTGTCTCGAGAAGAGCGACGACAAGGACCATCTTAGCTACGACCTGTTCGCCGTGAGCAATCACTATGGCAGTATGGGCTTCGGTCACTACACCGCATTTGCCAAGAGCTGGCAGGACGAAGGCGAGATGTATCCGGGCTGGTACTCGTTTGACGACAGTCTGGTGGCGCCAGCGATGCCCAACCAGGTCAAGTCCAACGCAGCATACATTTTGTTCTACAAACGCAAGAACCTCCAGGTGGAGCCAACTCGTAGTAACAAGACTAAACAGAGTTAGTGGGGCGCGGCATTTTTAGGTATACTGCGGTTTTCAATGAAGATAAGGGCGAAGAGCCGATGTAGACACACTGATGATGTCTTTTGTCTTCGAACACCAAGTGATCCATAGTAGTATTACCACCGCTAGCTCAACGGACACAACAAGCGACTGTACATGTACATGTACGGCAGGTGTCGTCTACACTCAGTACAAGACAGATGTCGTGGGCGAATTTGGCGACGGCAGGCTACAGCACCGGTCGCTGATTGTTGGCTTGCACATTGTTGACGAGGTGGGTTGGTACTGGGGGGGGGGGGTAATAGCGATGGGCAGAACACAGGCCATTCGCCTGGAAAGGAAGGATTCAGCTCAAATTACATGATAACGAGCTCATTCTCAGAGCCACTAATTGCCTCGGGACAGCCTTGATCGCTTCCTTGGAAGGCCCCAAGGCACTTACCGGCAAAGTTGCCGGCGGCAACACGAAAACTTTTTAAAACTACACGTCGCGAAACAAAGTGGATTTCCAGGATGCATTTAGCTAGGTTTTGCACGTCCCGCCTTTCTGCTGTTCTCTTAGCAACGTGCGGAATAAGTCACATGTGGTCCACATAACAGTCTCAGAGACAGTATTCGTGTGCAAAGGTTGATGGGCATGCACCTCACCATTCAGTATCGCTTGGAGGAGTGATCACTTTGCTATTAGACCCCCGCAGCCCTCCAAGCTCGAAGCAGCTCTTTCCTCATGACCACTTCCGCTCATTTCGACGTGGTTTGGCGCCAGGACGCGCTGGGCCTGCGCTTCACACCCAACGAGAACGACATGCCCGTTGTTTGTCAAGTGCCGCCGAACGCTTGCCCCGCCGTTCTGGCTTCTCCTTTGGCCGTCGGCGACGTCCTCGTGGGTTTTGATCTGCAGTTGCAAGACCAACCGGACGGCATGCAACATGTGAAAGCCTTCGACCAATTAGTGACGGTGTTGCGCCGTGCTAAGCTGCCGGTCACACTGCGTTTTCAGTCGCGGGAGAAGGAGATCCCATCAAAAATCGACGAGTCCGACGTGGCGCGCCACTACACCTTCACATGGGCAGCACAGTCGCCATTGGGTGTGTCTTTGGCCATGGATCCGTGCACTTTACACGCCGCAATCACAGCTATTGACCCCAACAAGATCTCTGCGGCTTTCCAGAATCTCAAGCCGGTGCTGGGCGACGTGCTGGGCGCTATCTCCCCCGACAGCGACGATGGAGCAGTGACGCGTCTCGATGACATGCGTTTTGAAGACGTCATTCAGACATTGCGTCAGTTCCCAAAGCCGTGTCGTCTTACCTTTGCGAGACTCGTGGAGGAGACTCCATCCGACTCCTCCGGGTCAGAGGAAGACAATGTGCTCTTCCCTTCGAAACCTGCCACCCGTCCGAAGGCAACTTCGTCTTCGAGCGATAGAAACGAAGAAGCCACAGACATTCTAAAGCCTCCGTTCCTTACACGCCCCCTACAAGTGCGTCCCAAGTCTCGATCGAGAGCGGGATTGCCTCCTCCAAGGAAGCAACTGCCCATCTCCATGCGTCAGAGCTTCCGTATTGACGCTCCAAAACCTCCTCCTATGTCCAGTGACAGTAGACCTCATGCTAGTTCGACCTCCTCGAACGATGGTAGACCTCATTCTGGATCAAACGCAGACGACAAGGGATTCTACACAGTCATGTACAGTGGTGGCGCTGTTGGCTTACAGCTACGTGACTGTACGCAGGATGACAAGGCTCTCACGAAGAGCAAGGACAAGACTAACCGGACGAATGGCTACACTGTGGCGATTCGGAATGTGACGGATCCGAAATCCGCCCCCGGTCTGGAGATCGCGACACCCGACGATCTCTTAATGGCGATTGGCCAGAAGGACTTGCAGCACATGTCGTTTGACGAGGTACGCATGGAGCTGGGTGCTATCCAGACCCCCACGCGCTTGCTGTTCAAGAAACGTAAGCGTGTAGTGGGCAACTCGTCGGGCGGTTCGCTGGTCGATTCGTTGCTACTCTTTCTCGTGTAAGAACTCGAACGAGTTATCCTTCGTGTCAAACACAAAGGTTAGATTTGGTTTGCTTTCTTGTTTTTTATGTGAAATCGCTGATGAAAATAAAAAGATAATCAATTTGAACTTGTTGATGAGTCTTACAGTAAACTCGCTTGTAATTTTCTTGAATTATGTGACGAGAACGAGCAGATCCCAGTTAGATTCGTCGCCGTAGCATTTACATCTCCGGTCACTTTCAAATTAACCAACATTAAAAGAAGCATCTGACAATTACAGGTAAAAAGAAAATTATTTCTCGATTAGTACTCGTCCCCCACCCTAAAGAATGATTTAGATAGAGACTGAGTCAAAACCTTTTAACTGACAAACGCTGACGACTGACGATGACCACGCCCCCCGGAAACGTTCTCACTTGGAGGCTTATGAGGAAGATGGTAAAAAAAAGAAGATGAGTGGATGGGTGAAGATGACGAACAAGTAGCAGATCATGACTCGGCGGAGGAGATCGCTCTAGCGGAGCAGAAGCCTCTCGCAGTGTCTGGCAAGAAAGGCATCTCCGACGTTGAGATCAGATACAAAATGCCCGATGTGCCCCTTGCTACTAAGTACAAAGGCAGTGAGTTCTATTTTGTTCGCGCATGTTATGATGTCTACTATAAGAATGTGGAAGATCTGCTGCTTAAAGATAAGGAGAAATGTGTGACACTGACCGGGCCTCTAGGTGAGCAAGTAGCTAATACTACAGTACCCAGCATCAATGGGCCGATAGTAATCTACTTCGTAAATGTTTTTTACTGCAGGATTCGAGAACTCGATCTTCTATGCCTATTTCTTGGAACGGTTCAAGAAGGCCAACCCAACCTGGACTATTATTGCGTCAGCGCATACTTCGGAAGGAGAAGTCGAATCTTCTGGCTGTGTTTGAACCTGGTGAGGAAGCCAAGCACTATCGTCGACCAATTCCGGGAATTCCAGAAACTGTGACGTAGAGCGTATTAGGCGTGGATCTCAGTGATAAGACAAGCTTGAACCGATATCGAAACAAGTTACTTTGGCTGTGCGATGGACCGCCAAAGGTAGCATTCCGCTAAACGGTTGTGCTTACAAGCCTACACGAGAGATGCTTGAAGGAAGTAAGAAAGGAACTTTGCACTTACTATATGCCTCCCTGGACACTTGAAAAGCTGCAACTAGGTGCTTCCGTTCTGGAATACCCTATTAGTGATTACGAGATGGAAGAACGATTCTGGAAGTTCGGTGGAGTGGTCGAAAATTGGTTCTCGCTTAAGCAAGAGCGGGCTGTGTTTACTATAAAGGATTTGACGAAACCGATCGAGCAGATTACTAACCGTGGACACCCTGAAAACCTGCTTACAATTTGAAAAACACTACCACGCTTCACCGTTTCTTGCACTACGAGCCCATTGGTGATGGGAGGTTAGTAGAAACGAAACTTGTGTCCGAAATGGTGTGCAAAAAGCTTTCGGAGCGGCTGCTGGGCGTAATAGAGGGCAGAATGAATGAAGTCAAGGGGTTGCTTGACGGCATACCCCCCGCTGTTTCGCTTAGAAGAGGGATATTTGAGGCCAAAGCGCATGCAAAACTTCGCGACGTACCGAAGTTGAGGGGACTGCAGTTGAAGGCACAAGAAGTGTCTACCGTCAATACGCGAGCAAATTGGGAACTTTTGACATTGAGCGGAGCGATCCCGTTGATGTCTTTGAGCGCAGCGCGTTATCTTCTTCGCTTCTGAGCAAAGGGCCGTACCATCAGCCGAAGTCGAAAACCCTGCAGTCAATTGACGGATTCTACTTTTCAAAAGCACTTGTTAGCACGACCGCGACACCGTCAAGAATCCTACGAACAGGCGTATACTTTTTTTTTCCAAATGACGGTCTCCATGACGTATCCTGTGCGTGCTTTTAAAATCATTTACGTTCTTCACAGGCTTGGTTTGCTGGAACAAGTCAAGGCCAACCCCAAGCGGGCTGCGCTCGTATTTCTTGTTCCTCATTCTGGTTTAAAGGGCTTTGAACGACAAGATATCATCTCGGATGGGGTGTCGCCACATTCGATCAAAGACATACATGACATTGGACCCGCTGCAGTGAAAACGTTTGCAGATAAGTACGGCATCAAAACAGTTGACAAATTGAAGACAGCAGTGGACCTCTTTAAGCAAGAAAAAGTCAAGATGAAAGAGAAGAAGCACCGATCCGATTGGTTACGCGCCGTGAGGAGTTGGGGGAAGCATGTAGAGCTGAACAAAACCGAGAACATCGCAATGATGAAAAATATCCCCCAATATATTTCGCCGTCTGATTAGCCATCAAATCTGCAGTAGCTTACCACTACTAGTAGTAGTAGTATTTATCTTTTGTTAAGTGACTGAAATCTTTTTCTCAGATTGACTTAGATATCGACGCAAAGTATTGTCATTCTGTTTCGGGATCTCAGCTTCGCAGTGAAAACGAGCAAACGAAGCTAAACCCTTGACGTGTAGATTCGCACCAATTCGGTAAGCCCTTAGCGTCTAGAAAAGCAGGATAATTCATAATACTGTAAGCTTGGGCGGGCCTCAGAAAGACAGTCGTTCCTTGGTTATTTAATAGTCAACAATGTTTTATTCTCATAATTTGAGCTAGCTCTGCGAATACTCGCACTCGCTGCATAGGAAATCGTAATTATAGTAGCTGAGCTACGTAGATTCATCTCGCTTGTTTCGTTGCATCTCCAACTCGCGCTCAAATTAACGTCACGAACGTTTTACCCATTAATAAGAAAATCGTCTTTCGATTGGTCAATTGCATATAAAAGTAAATTTAGATAGAAACTGGGTCAAAACCTTAGCGCACCTAGGTCTCTTTCTGCATGCCCGAGACTGCCGATCCGCCAGCCGAGATGCCCAGCACTGAAGAGCGCGTCGCTCTCCGCTCCTCGGGTCCGAGCAGCAGTTCTCTGACGTCTCCGTCACGCGCACGGCTGCTTGCCACTGCGGGCGTGGGCAGTGGGCCCGCCGCCCCCGACGAAGCCCACGCTGTTCGTCTCAATGTTCTCAATAGCAGCGTACAGGAAGCACGAGATGCACGAAACTCGCGTCTTATCATGTGGGCCATCTCACTGGTCAATTTACCGCAGATCATAGTGGCCGTCGTCATCCTGGCGCTACATTGGCAGGGCGAGACACTGTGCTATCGTATCCAGGTGTGGTTATTGCTACATACTATCCATCTCACGCTCACATTGTTGCTGGAATGGACACTCTACTACTTAAACGGCGCACGCAGTAACACTGCAATTAGACTTCGGGAACAATACATGGCTCCACTTAGCCAGCTCAAGTACGGGTTGGACCTAGCTGGCCTCTTTTGGTTCCTAGTGGGCAATATGTGGGTCATTAGCGACGGTGCGCGCTGCGACGACGGGTCGGCAATGTACCAGTTAGCTCTGTGGATGATCGTCATCTCCTATGCCAAGATCTTCCTGCCCTGCTTGCTGCTACTAGCGCTGTTGCCGATCCTCTGCTTCTGTCTCCCTTGTGTCATTCGACTACTGAGTAGATTACAAGACCCTATGAGGGGCAAAGGAGCCACCAAGGAGGTGAGTCGGATGCCCTGATATACGTTGCATAGTTAAAATATGATGCTGATAAAATACTTGTAGATGATTGACCAGTTAGAAAGCAAGACGTACACGGCCAATATGTTCCCGCCTGAAGACGCGTGCTGCTGTATCTGTCTGAACGACTACGAGGCGTCACAGTCGCTGCGTGTGCTACCGTGTGCACACCATTTCCATAAAGAATGCGTGGACGAGTGGCTATTGGTGAATTCTACGTGCCCAACATGCCGCAAATCCATCTTCGACACTGCAGGATCTGGAGGTGCCACAGCAACAACCGAGGAAGACATGCTACGGCGGGTGTGATGGCGAAGACAGTCTCTATTTCACCAGCAAGAAGTGATACTCATATTTTTAGTTAAATGGTGTTGATATTCTCGTTGACCTCCGAAATAATCGGATTTCTATGACCGTTTTGCCACTTTTGCGTCACTGAAGTGGAGAGATGAGCGCGGGCTCGGCAATTGCCAGTGTCTGTTTGCATTGTTGCAACAGTTCTGCAGCAGAATATTAACATTAGAAAAAAGTTGGACCGCTGTGAGTGCTATATCTGTAACACTCAGACGGACCTTCGAGATGCCTTGTGCTTTCGTTAATAAACTCATTTACGCCGACGGCGTCGTCATTTGACTCCACAGCTTCGTCATCTAGCTCAAGGCCAGCTTCCACGGGGTTCTCGTCTTCTGTTGCAGCAGATTTACTAACGGCGTTGATAGTAATTTCCTCGAGAAGCCTCGTGAGCGTGAGTGTCTTGCCATTTAGAATGAACAGATTGGGGAAAGCCTTTGATGCCTTCGCGCCGGCTTTAATATCTAGAGGATTGCCGTCAAAGTTGAGAACACGAAGACTCGGCAACTTAGTTGCCAACTCGACAAAGTCAACACTTCGAATCTGATTTTTCTGCCAGCAAAAAAAGAAATTAAACAAATGGCGTTGGATGTTACACAACAGGTCGTACGGCAACTGAAAGCTCTTCCAGCGAGGGCAACAGCGGTAGAGTGGCTAGAGGTCAATAAAGCAAGGTACACAATTTTCTATAGGAGCTGTGCACGCTACATTTGACTAGCCAACGAACCGAGAGACGTGAGTTCGTTATTGGAAAGGTGAAGACAACGCAACAATGGCAGTGTAGGCAGTTCTTCCAGCGATCGAAGCTGTAGCAGCAGTTCACAAAGATGAATAACCGTTATTATAGCGGGGCTCTTTACTCTAAAACATACTAACTGTAAGTGTACCTCGTTGTGAGCCAAGTTAAGCTCGAGAAGGTTGACGCAGGACTCGAGTGCGGCTATTCGGCGGAGTTTCATCCCCGAGACATCTAGCAGCGCGACCAAACTCACATCATAGTGGCCACTTCGGCGCTTGATAATCTCGGGGGTCAGCTCCATACTCGGTGTCGGTTCACTAATGTCGGTTCCAGCCGAACGACAAAAATACTCGAGCCCTCGAACGAAGCTCATGATGAATCGATGGCTGCGTGCAAGGCAACTTCAACTAAAGCCGGCAGATTGTAAGAGACAGCATCGCTAGTACCAGCTTCACGTGGCATTGAAGCTGTGCTCTGCAGCCAAAGTTACAGGGTTCGGTCGACCCAGTCACGGTGGCAGACTTCACCCGCGTTGCCTTTGACTTACAGCTTTACGACTGAGCCTCAGAGCCAGCCCCGTCGTGTTGTCGGCTCAAGGTAGAGCTGCTTGGGCTCGAAACGCTGCAGCTTGACGTCGTTTAACAGAGCAGCGCGATCTTCCAGTAGCTTCAACGGAGCGATCGCCCGACACGCAAGGTTCCTGGACTAGAAACCTAGAATCCACAGTAGTCGACTCGAATCGCCAGAACGACTCAACTTCAAGCGGATGCTCCATACTGACCCAGCAATATAGTAATGTGCAGCCTAGACGCGAGCAAGAGTACATTTTTTTTTTCACATATAGCACCTGCCTTCGAGTGCGAGGTGGCAGCAAGAGAGGTTGATAAAACTGCAGCTTTGCCGAGTAATGCGCTGTGAACATGCAGCACCCTGTTCATCATCGTGATTCATGAACATGAACTTCATGGCTACTGAGTACAGTGGCCCCACGTGCAACAGAAATTCCAGGCCGCGACGGCTCGCCAAAGACGATGCACCAGCAGAACAGGGCAACTTCAACCACCGCCTTTTTCACTTCGATGGCCACTGGGGATGCTCAGCAGCATGCTTTTAGCAAATTGTCTAGCTTTGAAATTATGAACCAGCGCACACCAGTCTTTTTCTAAGGACAACTAAAAATAAGCAAAGATACCAAGAGTATCAATTTACATGTCAATCCACTATTTTAGACTCTGATGAGCTTCAGAGCTGAAGCTCTTCTCCACCCGTCTCAAAGCTGAACATTTTACTCTAGTCGACACCAGTCGACGCTAACCAACAACACATGCGCCATGCATTTTACATGTACCGGTATATGCCCTTATTGTCCCAGAAAAATCGAGGTAAGCTACGTGATTAAAATTCTCGTTGTCCCGCACCATGCCACAATCAACTTTGTCAAATGTCAGAAGAGGTATGAACTCGGTCGAAATGTAAATTGGAAGTGTGAGAATGCGTGCTAGAGTAACCGCCGCCATTCAAGAGCAAAATTGATCGGCTTCAATAGCAAAAGCCGATGGAGGGTGGCATGCATCCGTGGCCACAAAGAGTGGTGAAGCTAGGAAACGTAGAGCTAGGACGCACAAGTAAAGTGACCGTATACGTGTGCAAAATTAAAAGTAGCTTATCTAGGGTTAGAGCTACTGTCGATCATACAAATTTGGCACAGCTTATTGCTGCAATTTTAATTGGAATTACAAGCCAAGTGTAACTTTGCGTTTAACGCTGGCATTCGCCTGACACGCAAGGGGGCCGATGACGTCGCCGGCGCCACGCTTGACCGACGTCAGACCGTGCTGCAAAGCTCAGTCTCTCCTCACCCGGCAGAAGTTTCTGCCAGAAACGGGGTCTGTATATCGCTTCAACCTGCCTACAACGTCCCTTGTCCACAGTGCCCTTCGTGGCAATGCCGAAGTGGTCGATCATCGAGTAGCAGCGACTCGCCCTTCCCACACTCTCATTCCTCAATTGGCGGCGTCGTGCACACTTGTTCCAGCTTCGGTTTCCACCCCCTTCTTCACAATGACCGACGCGTCCGTCCAGCAAGTGACACCACCCGCCAAAAGCTGCAGCGACAAGATCACCGGCGTGCTCATCAAACACTGGACGGTGCCCGACAAACACCGCAGTGATGAGCAGGACGCGGCCGAGAAGTATCTCCTCACCGCGTATATCTTCGGCAAGTACATGACGTTGCCGTCGATCAAATTCAACCGCTGGTACCTCTTTTTCGCGAGTTTCATGGTGCAGTTCTGCATTGGTTCGCTCTACTCGTGGTCGGTGCTCAACAACCCAATCGACCTGCTTATCTACGGCGACAAAACGAAAGGTATGGCTGTCAACGCCTTCTACATCGCCGTCGGTGTCTTCGGCACTTCGACCGCCATCATGGGTCCGTGGATCGAGCGCAACGGTCCACGCGCCGGTGTGGTGCTCGGTGCGACGTCGTTCTTCATCGGTTGTGTCATCAGTTGTATCTCGCTACACGCCGAGTCAATCGTAGGGCTCTACTTCGGGTACGGGTTGTTCTGTGGCTTCGGTAGTGGCTTGTGCTACATTTCGCCGGTATCGGCACTTCAAAAGTGGTTCCCGGACTACCGTGGCGCCGCTGCCGGTTTCGCTGTCGGTGGCTACGGTGCCGGTTCGGTAGTCTGGGGCAAAGCCTACCTTCCGATTATCGACGCTACTAGCGTACCCGACCTATTCATCGTCATTGGATGCGTCATGGCATTCATTCTTTTCTGCTGCGCTGTATGCCTACGTAACCCTCACTTTGACTTCCACGTGGGCGGCTTGAACATGCACGGCGAGGCTGTTCGTGAGGCTCAGGAATCGTTCCAGCGCGGCGAGAAACTAAGCGTCATGTCGTCGCATGAGTACGAGTCCATTATGACACCCACAGCCCGTGACGTGGCAGCGATGGTTGAGCCGACCGCACAAAACACCAGCTCACAAGTGAAGAAGATGACGTTGATCCAGGCCATCACGTCGCCCGACTTTGTCTTCCTGTATATTATGTTCTTCGGCAACCAACTCTACGGCCTTATCGTGCTGTCCAAGCTGTCGACTATGTGCACTACGCTCTTCGGTAAGACCGCCGAACAGGGCGCTGACATCGTCTCCATCAACGGCGTATTTAACTGCGTGGGGCGTCTGCTGTTCCCGCTCATTTCGGATGTGATCGTGCGCAAATTCAACGTTGAGCATGCGTTCGCCCGCAAGAGCCTCTTCTACTACGGTCTGGTCTCGCAGATCACTATTATTGCTATTTTCCCCACGTTAATCCGTGACGAGAGCTACACGGCGTTTGTCGTGCTGGTGTTCCTGCTGACGCTGTCGTACGGCGGCGGCTTCGGCACGATCCCGTGCTTCTTGACAGACATGTTCGGCGCGTTTAACATTGGCGCCATGCACGGCTTTATCTTGACGGCGTGGTCTCTAGGTGGTGTGGCCGGTGGCTTGACCTTCAACGCCAAATACAACGAGGCTATTAAGAGCGGTAGCACACCGGTAGACGCGTACGTGGACAGCATCTATAAGATTCTGATCGTGGTGTGCGTCACGGGTATCTTCATCTTCATGGTGCGCACGAACCCGCGCGACCGCTTCGAGAAGGGCTACCACTACAGTTTGTTCGGCAAGCGTGTGATCAGTATCAAGCCCAAGGACACGACAGACAATAAGGAGGGTTTGTTGCAGAGCGAGGTGTAAGGATGCGTGGGTATTGCTGTAGTATATGTTGCTGAATCGAAGGGAAAATCATTATCGACAAAATGAAAATTGCCGATTTGCTTGTCTGAAGTTGTAGTTGCCTTCAGCTAGAAAGATGCCAAGTCTCTTGTCTTCGATTGCCTCGTTTCTTGTGCGGTCTTGTCATCAGCTTCAACCTTGAATAAGTCAAGTTTTGAGGAGACTTTTGCTCGATCAAGTGTGAAATTCACTAGTGTGTCCGAAGTCGCAAGCATTGCTGTGCCGAATGGCAGCCATTATGGCTGTGTCCAGTGGACACAGCAATGTTTAGTTTGCAGTGAAGTGCTCGTTAGGATGGTGTGCTTGCAACCACGCAGCATCGGTGACCTCGCTCGCCACGACGCTGCCGGCTTCTCGGTGGTGCAGCAAAGCGGTGCCGATGCCGGCGGTGCTGTGATGGTGTTAACGTGCGAGGATAGAGCTTAGCATCTTGCGTTTCCTCGTATGAGCATGTTCGTTGACACTTTCCGGTCATTATCACCTTGCGTTTGGTGCGATGACCATGATCACTGGCGTTAAACCATGTTATCCGTGGGCCACCGGAAGGTTGTTAAAGGAACATGAGTTGTGGAGCCAAACGACGCTACAATGGACACATCGGAATTGAACTTTAGTTCAATTGTGCTTAAAGCGCGATCAGTGCTATTATAGGAGGATGTCTCGAGAGGCACACAGACGAAGGGATTACTGTAAGTTTAACGGTATGTGACAGTAGACTACCTCAGAGTTTTGCCGTGCTGAAACGCGAAGCCGCTAGGCCTCGCGTCGCCGTCACAGGATATTTCTAGATCGAAAAAGTGTTGAGCTTGGCGTTATTGCTGGCGTTGATGTCTCTGATATCACTGCCTATTGGGCGCCATCGCTCGATACGCAAGGACTCTTGGTCGTGTTGACACGTCCATCTCCTTACCAAGAAAGTAATGTGCGAAAAAGTGCGATCAGCAGATCCCACACTCGTTTAACTATTGCGAGGTTTTCGCCTATTTCGCTGAGTTGCTACTGAGGTGCCCAGTCCGAGGAAGCCCAAGTTTCCTGTCTGAAGTTGCCAGTTGCCAGCACTGCAAGATCAAGTCCTTGTAGACCTCAAACTCAACCAAAGCCGTGTCTTGGTGGTCTGTGCACGACACTTGTCTTCAACTCGAATTAATCTCCTTAATAGTAAAACTTACCACGGATCAGTCACCCTTACAAAAACCCAGTCGTTGCAGTTTTGCAAATCCACTGCCATCCGGCGAAACGCAATTTTATATCGCTTTTTGCCATCGTTGAAGTTGGCAAGTTGAAGAGGCAATAAAATCTCAATGCCTTTGCCGTTGCCAAAAGCCCGACAACTCCTGCTTGCGAAGTTGCGTTCATTCCTCAATTGGCTCGCTGCCTCGCAAGTAAAAAAAAAACTTCACACCAGCCCAACTCTCACCGTCTCGCTATGGGCGTGGAAGATCCTGCCGCTGTCGACGCAACGACACCGAAGAAGACGTGTCTGCGGTCCACAAAGGACGCGATCGCCGGCCACTGGACCGTCCCGCCCAAACACCGCACGGCCGAGCAGGACGCAGCCGAGGCGTGGCTCATCACCTGGTATCTGGGCAAGAACCGCTACTTTTCGTTGCCGGTTTTGCCCTTTTCGCGATGGTACCTCTTCTTCGCGAGTTTCCTGGTGCAATTTTGCATCGGCTCTCTGTACTCGTGGTCGGTCTTCAATAAACCCATCGACCTGCACGTGTACGACGACGACACAGCCGGGCGCGCTGTCAATGCCTTCTACACTGCCGTCGGTGTCTTCGGCACTACCACCGCCATCATGGGACCGTGGATTGAGCGCCACGGCCCGCGCGCCGGCGTGATGCTCGGTACGACGTCGTTTCTCATTGGCAACATCATTGTAGCCATCGGTGTGCACTACAAGGCGATTGCAGCCATTTACATCGGCTACGGCGTCTTCTGCGGCTTCGGTATGGGGCTTTGCTATATTTCGCCCGTCTCAGCGCTTCAAAAATGGTTCCCGGACTACCGAGGCACAGCCGCCGGCTTCGCAGTCGGCGGATACGGTGCCGGCTCTGTCGTCTGGGCTAAAGTCTACTTGCCATGCATTGACGCAGTGGGTCTGTCTTCCACCTTTATCCTCATTGGCTGCGTCATGGCCTTTGCCATGTACGTGTGTGCTATAATTCTCCGCTCTCCACACCACGAATTTGTGGTTAGTGGCCTCAATATCCACGGAGAGGCCGTAGAAAAGGCAGACGAACTCACCCACCGCGGCGAGAAGGTCAGCGTCTTGTCTTCTCATGAGTATGAGTCCATTACGACGCCCACAGCACGGGATATCCAGGAAATCGTCGAGCCTACCACAGCTACCAACACTCTGGTACGCAAACTCTCCCTCATTGACGCCATTAAAACGCCGGACTTTCTGTGCATGTACATCATGTTCTTCGCCAACCAACTGTACGGCCTTATTGTACTCTCGAAACTCTCGAGTATGTGCACGGACATCTTTAACAAGACCCCCGGCCAAGCGTCTGATATCGTATCGGTTAACGGCGTTTTTAACTGTTGCGGTCGCTTGATGTTTCCGCTCATGTCGGACATCTTTGTGCGCAAATTTCACGTCGAGCACGCGTTTGCGCGTAAGTGGCTGTACTTCTATGCACTGGCATCGCAGGTGATCATCCTTGGCTTGCTTCCAAAGATTTTGGAGAAGGAAAACTACACGGCCTTTGTGGCTGTTATTTTCATCTTAACAGCCAGTTATAGTGGCGGCTTTGGAACCATTCCGGCGTTCTTAACTGATATGTTCGGAGCATTTAACATCGGCGCCATGCACGGGTTGATCTTAACAGCGTGGTCTATCGGCGGCGTTGTCGGAGGAATCTCTTTTAACCACACGTACGGTGACCAGATCGCCGATGGCTGGGAGATCCACGAGGCCTACTCGTACACAGTTCGCCGTATCTTTATCATTCTTATCATCGGCTTCGTGGTGCTCTTCTTCGTGCGCACGAACGCCACAGATCGCTTCGAGCCCGGTTATCATCTCAGTATCTTTGGGAGACGAATCGTCAATATCAAGGGCAAACAGGAACCGAAATAGGAAGAGCCGCTACTTGAGGCAGCGTAAAATGACTTGAGCTCTGTCGAGCGAGGAGTTGTCGTTAGTGTACATATAGTTCATTTCATTCACAGATAAGTAAAAAAAATCATGACGGCGCTTGAGCTTGTTTACGTGTATTTAGGGTAATACCCAGTAATCTTGAAGCGGTAAAGTCGGTGATCCAGATGCTAGAAGACTGGCCATCGTGCTCTTGGCTACCCACACGTCTGCCTTCCCATCTGCTCTTTGCTTAGCGACTCGCACCTTTCCTCAACTTGATGCTGTTGAGCCTCCTGCGCGTCCACAAGAAGCAACATCGTGTGAAAACTTAGAGCAAATTTTTTTTGCGCGAGGCAGCTAAAACACAGAGTGTGTAAAAGTTAAAGAGCCTTATACAAGTACCACGTAATATGAGGCTCTTTAACTTTTAGTTTTTCTGGATAAGATTTCTTCTGATCCCAAAGTCTTTCCTAATTTACTCTCTGCATTCATATTTACACTTTACCCTCCCATCTGCAAAAATAAACATCCGTCTGTACAATTACCATCATCTCTTCCGCTATACACCAGCTCAAACTCGTTGGTATTTTCATTCCTCAATCGACGAGCTACTACGAAAGGTTCTTGGTAATTTCTGGTCTACTAGCTTCTCGAAGCTCTCACATCCTCCCAAACTTCCAAGTCAAGATGCCGACGAAGGGAGAAGCCAACAAAACGTGCGTTCAGGCAGTACAGACGAAAATCGCCAACCATTGGACGGTGTCAAGAAAATCGTGCTCACCGGAGCAGTATGACGCTGAAGAATGGCTCTTCACGCTCTACCTCGGCAAGGACCGCTACTACTCCTCCCGTTGCTTGCGGTTCTCACGTTGGTATCTGTTTTTCGCGAGTTTTCTGGTTCAATTCTGCATCGGGTCACTGTACTCGTGGTCTGTCTTTAACAAACCCATTGACGCTCATGTGTACAACGACCCGAAAGCTGGTCAAGCCGTGAACGCATTTTATATCGCCGTTGGTATCTTCGGTACGACGACAGCTATTATGGGACCCTGGATCGAGCGTAATGGTCCTCGCTACGGTGTAGTGCTAGGAACGTCGTCATTTCTTCTAGGTCACGCGATTACTGCGATGGGTGTGGCTCACAAGGCAATTGCAGCCATTTACATCGGATACGGTCTGTTCTGTGGCTTTGGCATGGGTATGTGCTATATCGCTCCAGTATCGGCATTGCAGAAGTGGTTCCCTGACTATCGAGGCACAGCGGCAGGCTTCGCTGTCGCTGGGTATGGAGCAGGGGCTGTGGTGTGGGCGAAAGTCTACCGTCCTTGCATTGAAGCTGTCGGGGTGTCCTCAACCTTCCTGGTTGTCGGTTGTGCAATGGCAAGTACCATGTACCTCTGTGCTATCGTACTCCGCACCCCTCACTTGGAGTTCACGGTTGGAGGACTCAACATGCACGGTGAAACTGTAGACGAACCGGAAATGGCTACAGATAACGCAGAACACGTCACCTCGAAGCACCGCTACGAGTCGGCAGCGTCCGAGAACGAAATCGACTTTATCATCAGCACTAACGCTCAAGTGCGTAAACTGACGTTGATCGACGCTATCAAGACTCCAGACTTTCTGTGTATGTACCTCATGTTCTTCGCTAACCAGATCTACGGACTGGTGGTGCTGTCCAAGCTGTCGAACATGTGCACCGATATTTTCGGTAGAACGGCGGACGAAGCTGCAGACATCGTGTCTATCAACGGCGTTTTCAACTGCTTCGGTCGCCTCTTCTTCTCACTGTCATCGGATCTGGTGGCGCGCAACTTTAATATCGAGCACGCGTTCGCGCGCAAGTGCGTTTTCTACACGACTCTGATCCTCCAGGTGGTGATTGTAGGCACCACGCCGATGCTCATTCGCAACAATGAGTACACGGCGTTTGTTGCCGAGATCTTTGTATTGACGGCTAGCTACGGTGGCGGATTCGGTACCATCCCTGCCTTCCTGACTGATATGTTTGGTGCGCTCAACATTGGCGCCATGCACGGACTGATCCTGACCGCGTGGTCGATTGGTGGTGTCGTGGGTGGCATCACGTTCAACAACGCGTACAGTAGTAAGATTGAGGCGGGAGTGGCCATCAGTGAGGCGTACATCTCGACATTGAACAACATCTTCATCATTATCGTGGCTGGGCTGGTAGTTCTGCTGTTTGTTCGTACGAACCCCATGGACCGATTCGAGTCCGGTTACCACTTCAGCATCTTCGGTCGACGAGTTATCAGTATCAAGGGGCAAGAGGAAGTTCCGAAGAAAGACCCGTTGCTGCAGATTATCTAAACGCTCAATGGCATGTCCCTTTAACGTCGAGCTTAAAACAAAACCATCCCTGACCAAAAATGTAACGGGGTACGTAGCCCTAAGTGTACCCCTAGTTACATCAGAAGTATGACACGTCATACTTCGAGATATTTGGTACACGTAACCAGGGTTGTCCGAGGCCAGCCATTGGCTGATGACATTGCTTTTATTTAGGTGACTTATAGTTTAAATATTTAACTCAGGCTTAGCCTACCTTTAACCCCTTCAACCCCGGTAGCTGTATAAGGAGAAAATGTGAAGAATACCGAACCTGGCATGAATAACACACAGATTTTTTGTGTGTTTTTTAGATGCATTAAAAACCGGCAAGGCAACCCAGTTTATGGCAGTCTCCCATCAGAAAGGCCGGAGCAAGAGAGTCTCCCGTCAGAAAGGCCGAAGCAAGTGAGTCTTGAAGACTTGCTCTTGTTGTATCAACCGTGTTTTGACTGGTGACCTACCTGTTTTTGCTATCGCTTAAATCGTGTGTACACATAATTGTGTGGCGTGCTGTACCGGTGTTCATTTTGAAAGATGAACGCTGACGACGCAATCGACTTGTGCTCTAGCGACAGCGACGACCATCTGCAAGAAGCAGCAGGTAGCAGGCAGATCGGCGCTAAGGAGCAACAACATAACGAGAGCTTGATCGACCTCGCAGGAAGCAGTGATGATTCCTCGGCAGGTGCACGATGTAGAGCTGTTTGCTTCCGATATTGGAATTGGCGTACGAGCGGTAGACACGCTTCACGTTGGGTCAACAGTCGCCCCCTACACGGGAATTTTGACGAACCACGACTACAACACTGACGCGAACCAGCACGAATACGTTGTGGCGCTACAAGCCAGAGCTCGCAGCCGGGTCAAGACCAAGCTATATATTGATGCTGAGGAATGTGGGACGGTTGCACGGTTCATCAATCACAGCTGCGAACCCAACACGGAGTTTGTCGAGATGCGCCACAATCGTGAAGTTCACGTCATGGTCAAAGCTACTAAGGAAATTAATGCTGGTGTCGAAGCTACGGTGGATTACGGCGATACCTGGTTTCCACACGCCTGCAAGACCGCAAACTGTCGAGACAAGATTGCGGGTTGATAGAGCGAGTTCGACTAAAATCCGCAGTGAGGTTAGTTGTAGGATAACCTAGTAGCACAAATGGTGTATTACAATATTCGTTTTATTCAGTATTGCGGATGAGGGTGTCAAGGGCTGAGAGATAGTTGGTTCGCGCAGTAAGGACGTATTGCGCAAGTCTTAAGCAAGATGAACACGTACTTCATGCGACGCAAACCGACGTATTGAGCGTGAGGGGCACGCTCACGGTACGAATATTGAAACTACTGTACTTTATAATCATTCACTGTACCACACAACTAAATACTGTACTACTACAACAACCGTAACTAGACTATATGTACCGTAGACGGTACTGCGTACAGTAAATGTAAAAAACTTACCGTAAACGTAAGAAACTTACTGTAAATTAAAATAAAGTACTGAGCAAATATTTTTGTCTTTTGTTTTGTATAGCGACACAATCGAATTTGCGGTGACAATGGACGGACCCTTTTAGATATTCTGCAGGATGCGAGGAAGCACCAAAGCTCGCCAATACGCATTGGCTCGAATCGACATGTCTAACACCGAGCGTCAAACACGTGATGAGAAGTTTCTACGGAGTCAAGCTGGAAAGGAAGCTCGTCAGTCATTTTGGCAGACGCCACGCGACGGGGTTTCTTCAGACAGCGATGATGAAGATCCTAAGGACACCTTTGAGTTGATACAAATGAGCCTGCATGATACTGAGATCCAGCTTTGTGGTGCTCCACATAGCTTACTACTGAAGCGCATGTATAATGAGTACGCCAGACGTATGCGTGAAGCTGAAGAGCTGCGGAAAAGACAGAGAGCGAGGAGAAAACAACTATCGAAGGCTGATGCCCATAAAAAAAGTCTGTTAAAGCTCAGCCATGACTTGTTTCCGGAGCAACATGATGCATGCTAGACGAACGAAACAAGAGAATACCCTACAAATGAGAAAGGTGTCTAAACGTCAACGCCAAGCGGCTTCTATTGTTATGTAGTTGGAAAACCCGCAGTCCGATAATGTCGGAATACAGCTAAACCACCTAAATGACACATTTCGATTGACCACCAACATCAGTATTCAAGGTGAGGGGTACTTCCAGATCACTACGCCAACATGAGCGGACTTCCTGTTGAGTAGTTGTCGGTCTGCTTGAGTGTACCGGATTCAGCATACGTCGATTTATTCTTCCGCACGATGTTTCTGTTCACTAAAATTCTCCTTCCCTGGCTGTTTACGCGGTGAGATGCCAGTCGGGCATGAAGTAAGTGAATGCAAGAGCCAAACTTTCTCCAATACTTGCACTGGCACCATCCCGACGACACATCAACAAGCCAACCCTCCATGGGTTGCCCCATATATTCCATACGCGCGTAATTCCATCCCATCTGAGCTGTTACAGCTAGATACTCTTCCGTTCTCTTCTTGGATGGAATGTAGAACCGGGGTGCCGGTTGCGAGACTACTCGAATTAGGTTAGAGTTCGGACTCCCGGTAGGCTGTGAATTAACTTGCAGCAATTTGTCACTTCCCAGTTGCTTGGCTCGACGTAGAAGTGATGTTGTTGGTTCAGGATTCAGATGAAAGAGCCGTGCTTCCTGCGACTCGTTCGTACAGCACTCAGAGAGCACTTTAATCAACATGCCCATTTTCAGACGCGCTCTCAAGGTGTAGTCGCGCTTAATGATTCTATTGAATTGCTCCACAGGATTGTTGGTAGTTGCATATGCAGGCTCCAGATAACAACACTGCCATTTCGAATACCGCGTGCTAAGCCACTGCTTCGTGAAATAAGCAGCGAATGGGGCAATATCACTTCAAGAGCTCCATTGCCCAAGGTAAAACTGCGTCACTTGAGCCAGTTCGCCAAGCGTAGTCGAAAAGTGCATATCGTAAATCTGCGCTAATACATAATTTGCCACACTATCAGGAAGATGCCTAGTTTTCCCCTGCACCTTCTTCATGACGTGAAAAACACACATTAGAAACACAAAATCTGAGTCGAATCGAAATACCTGCTCCAGAGCGTTTAGCTGTCCATCCTCCGCGTCTCCCATAACAAACTTCAGTCGAACTTGCTTTCCAATGACCTCTGCGTAAATCGACCGGAACGCGAGCAGCGCCATTGCGTACACACTCTCCACTCGATGCGAGATTATACAGAACGCCACCAGGTGAAACTTTCGCGCGCGATCCGAAATTCCCATTACGAGCACAGGATAGCCGACCTGGGAAAGCTTGAAAGTAGCATCGATGTGGAATATAAAAGTTCCTGGGTCACGGTCAATAAGTCGTAACAAATTTCTGGTAGTCAGCCCCACAATAAATGGTTCCTCATCCGAGCCGTCACCAACGATGAGGTCGCCATCAGTTGTTTTACTATAAGTAAACGTGATTGGAGCTGAATCACCTTTTGAGGTTTTGTAAGCCAGATCTCGCACCGCAGTCGTAATATCTTCGTGCTCGTCGTTGTAGCCAAGCTGCGTTTTGGAATAGTAGTTGACAAAGTTCTGAATCGCGCGAAGACGTGGTAGCCTCTCTCCCTCCAGCCCATACTTTTTTATAAGAGCGTTCCAAATACGAACCGGTTTCAATCGGTATGATACGAGCTCCTGGCAAAAGAGCTTTTGCTGTCGCGTCAGTCCTGCTTCGCGGGGTGACCTCGCCACCGAAAAATGAGTGCCAATCTCATACAAATCCATCATTCGCGTCACCGTGCACGTCAAAAATTTTCCTCTCCATCCACAGCTCACGCCGGAGCCTGCTATTTGGCATGCTTTTGACTTACACCGCAGTAATTGATACTTCATTGTATGCTTGGTCGGGTCCGCGCAGATAGTGCATGAGGTCATGTTAGCCTTGGTAACACGAGTAGCCTTTCCCGAGTCCAGTAGTTCATGCCCTTCCTCCTCGGCCAACGAGACGGCCAGCTCTCTCCACTCAAGCTTCTTAGGCATATCTCCGACCCGTGACCGGGAGAAGCCTTTAATGAATGACAAGTCACTATTTGCTGAATTTGCTTTGGCACTGTCAGACTCTGTACATGTAGAGCCAGCCAATGCCACATCTTTTATGTCTTTCTGTAGTGGGACCCACTTTTTGTGTGTTGGTCGACCTTCCTATGTGTGAATCTGCAATGTGCTGTGTATACCAGATAAGCTATGTTTTTTTTTAATTTTGCTGTGGTTTCACGCAGTTGGTGTGCTGAAACGTAAAGTTCGGTGATATCTAGTGGTTGCCCTGTATAAGCTGCGTTTGAAATCAGCTGTTACGCTGTATATACAGCGTAGTGGTTTTATACCTAAATAAACTACCGGTATACTTGTTTCTGACAGATTCACAAGGTATACAAAAGCGAAGATTAAAATTTGAGAGCCGGAAAATGTATCTTCCTACACATGAGTCTAAAGAGGAGAGAAAGGCCGCTTCTAATTTCTCGATTTTTTTAGATATTATAAGTGCCAGGTTTGGCACAGTCTTTCGAAGCAGTATACTTTTTGGGAGGTAAATTTCGCGCCCTTTTCGCAAGCTTGAGCGCCAGTCAAAGATTTTCTGCGGTGAACAACAAGCGGTTGAGAGCTCGTGATGGTGGGGACGCGCGAAACATCTCGAGGGAGATGTTCTGGTGGAGCAACTCCGGTACCTGTGCCCGTGCGGGGGCCTGACAGCTTCCGCGTACTCTGGGCTGGCCTTAAGTCGGCTGAGTGGACCGTGAAGCCACCATCAAGCCGAAGCCTGAATCATTTCTGGAAGTACATCAAGCCAGGCGGTGATCCCACTGGAAAAGAGGGAGTGGACTACTTTCTTGGAGAGCAAGCTCTATTCCTGTACTCTCGAGAAGGTATGCTATACTTGAGCTGTTTTGGATAGTCTTTATTGACGTTGCTA